GTAGCATTTAGGAGCATCTAGCGTTTTTTTTCTGCCAGAAAAACACTCCAGAAAACTCTACAAAAGAATTTTTTTTCTGCTCCTAGACGCTGAAGCTCAAAAAATGCTAATAGCCTAAAGTAGCATGCAGGAACACATAGGGTAACACTATTTAGCTTCTAGGAGCAGAAAAAATATGCTGATAATAGCTTCTAGGAGCTTAGAAATACGCTAGTGTGCATGGAGCCTAAAAGCCCATGTAAGCCTGTGTACCACTGGCACTCTATCCAAAGCTATAGTGGTTAAAAAATGCTTTATAGTGTATATCCGTGTTAATGTCTTGTCAACAGTGGAAGAATAATTACAGTGTATGCCTAAATAAAGAATTCTCAAACACAAATGCAAGCAGATTCTTTTGAGTTTAATAGACATGAAAAAATAAACCTTTTCACAGATACACATTAATGGAGAAGCCACGAGCATCTAGTAAACAGTAACATTATATAATGAGGTGATGTGTAGTTCTTACCCACTGAGTCAAATTATAGGATCAGTGGAGTTATATGCAAACATTGCATTATTTGTGAAATATCCTACTGCATGAAACCAAGTAGAATAATGTGAAGCTTACTACAGCCAAGTGATAGTTCACACACAGGTGTCCCTGTATTGTATTTAAATTACTGAGGATTATAACCCATGTGCTCCACTGAGACTTGAGAAGATTTGTGGGTTTAATGACCAGATCTAATGCTACCTAACGGTGCTCAAATTAGAAGCACAAGGACTACACTTACCACAATGCACTGCTTGACAGTCTGAGTACATGGATGAGCAGACAGTACATACCACAGGAGCGAAGCTGTCAATAATTCAAATGTGTTTTGTGCTGCAATCTCAAGCCATCTGATACTGATCGGAATCTTTTCCAAAAGATCATCTATGATGGCTGCCTCCTGAGTGAAACTCCTTGTATCCTTCATGTCAGCACACAGATTGTGTGTAAAAATGGGAGAAACAGCAGATGTCACAGTGTGAGGTAGGTGTGGAGGGAACAGACAACAGATCTATCGATACAACAGCACATAGCCCCATCCCTCGCATTGAATGGCATGTGCCAACTGGCTTTCTCTGCCTAGAACATGCTTATGCAGCCTTTATTTTAATTCCTAAAAAATGTCAACTGGCTGATCATGTTGGGTAAGACTGTAAATTGAATGGGAAATCTGCAGGCCTCTAGTAAAATTTTGGTAAGCTGTAAATTTTCATGATGTCCAAATCAGGCATACCTAGAGTACTTTCTCTACTGCTGGTGTTGTCTGCTGCGGAACTGTGCAGATTTCAAGCATGTACTTTACAAATAATGTATTGTTTTAATTAGGGTCATGCAAGCATTATTATCCAAAAATCTGGACATCATACTAACTGGTGTTGTCTAAATAGGACTTTGGAAAGAAAGGTATAGTAGTGAAATTCTTCCACAGGTTGTCCTAGGCCTTGTGTCCTATAGTAGTGGTATGGTATCTGCAACAGTGGCAGTAGGTTGTCAAAGGACAGTCCTCGGGCTGCATATAGCCATTCTAGGGCCTCAAAGCATTTATGACTTTTTGTCTCTAAGAAATATTCATATTATTTCTCCTACAGACTGGCAATGATGCTCCCTTTGCAGTAAATGTAATACACAGGAGGAAAAGAAACATCTTTACCCTGACATAGGCTACTTGCCTAAAAGTGAGAACTCCATAACTGACTAAAACTTCTTCATGCTATGTGGCACTATCTGAATTAGAATCTCTAATATAAATCTCTATGTGGGTGTGCTGGCAATTAAGGCATGGTTTTCATTTTTCTCTTTTAGAGTCCCCTGTGTTTTATGGATCCCCTGTTGTCTCTTTGGGAGGTTGAGGTCTGTCATTGCTGGATCATCTAAGAATGTCACAATGAATTTAGTTCATGCAGTAACCGTGATAGAGCTATGTAAACCCCTTTTCCTGCTACATTTTTGGGTATTGAAAGATAGTGAATGTCTTTAAAATGATTGTATGGTATCCCGGAGTAGCCTGGCAAGAACACCATGTGACGTTAACTCTTTTTCTAGTCTCAAAAGCATGATGCCAGCGTGATATGTGTTCCATACAGTGCAAAAGAGGAGGATTGATGGGGCAATAAGACCCCTCCCAGTATAGGGACCCCCATGACAGCAGACGGTCAGATGTGTGGTGAAGTAAAGCTGACACTGCATTTAGCACCAGCAACATCAACACACAGCATATTTTCTAAGTATACACATGTGCAGCATATTGGTTTTATCACTTAGGACACAGACAGTGTATTCTCATAAAGCACAGTTGTTTCAGATTGCACACACATACAGATAGCTACTGCAATTGCATTACTTCTCATCACATTCATACAGTACCTTCCATACACTTTCATACAGGCATTGCGTGTACATTTCCCAAAATGCACTCATCCTACCACTTGGTAAAGTAACTTCTGTGATGCATGAAACATCACATAGCCTCTTTCTTCTGCTCTGAAAACAATTCCAATAAGCGTGGAGCATGCATCGGGTGCCACTGTGACAGTACCAGCAAGGTTTTGGGGCTTGTACCCATCACTTTAAATACCAGCTATGACTCTGTAAGGAATAAAGAAGCATTTCTGTTTATTTCCAGCTTCGGTTATCTGTTGAGTTTCTAATAATTTTATTTAAAAGGAAGAGCTTAACTCCTCTTTAGTAAAAAGTGACAGCCCAAAGGCTGAGATGAACGATGACAGGATCTGAATACCACTAGGGTGCTAGCTACCACATAGTCAATATAATATTATCAGAGCACAAATAGACTGCATATATACAGAGTATGTTCTGTGCTCAAATCAAATTCCAAGTACATCTCTTTTTATACATACACACAAAGTCACCATACTACACTTGCCATCCATTCAGTGCTATACGAGAGATAAATCCTACGCACTCCTGAATACAATTTAAATTACCCATGTCAGTCCACATCCGCATATCAGTCAGTCGTTCATTGCTAAAACACGGTTTTGCATGTTAGAGCAGCTAATAAAGTAGGGGTTTCATAAAAGGCATATTAATGGTAATATGTTCTGGCACTTGATTTGCTTTGTGATAACAAAGCGCTCTATTCACACCATCCATATCGATGTTTGAATGTAGCGTTTTAACCACACCACAATACAAACATTTTTCGAAGTGTCCTTCCATTGATAGTCTAATACGGTTATCAGTTGTGATCTGTCAGGTACATTATGCAAAATAATAAAGAAAAGTAGTAACCAAGATAACACTTTGTAATAAGCTCTCATTTTAAGTAATAAAGTTACACTATATTAACCAACAGCAACCAATCAGAACTTTTCTTTCATTGTACATATTACCATAAACTGATAAAAATGATGGGTGTGTTAAATAGTGTAACCAATGACTTGGAACTCTCACAGCTCAGTAGATTTATAAACCTGCACATGGTTAATTGTCAAATCCTTTGCTTCCTTGACCCTATAGAAGTTTTATAAATATAGCTATGTTAGCTTTAAAGACTTCTAAGCAATTCAATTATATTTAGTTTTGTAGATAAAAATATCATGGGTGAATAAGCCAAAACTATTTGTAGTCCAATGATGTTGTTCTTTATGCTATTAGAGATAATTACTTTCTCTGTTTGGCACTTAATTTATTGAGCTGCTTCTATCTTTGGTCATAATTATGCTACGTCATCATGATAAAAACAAACCTTTCATATAAACCTTTACAAATCCTGTCTGTCGCTAACAGATCACATCCACTTTTGTACCATCCGTCACACTTTATCACCAATCATACATGACAAATCACATACAATTTATCATCACATTCATATCAGTATCTCACATACTTTAACATAAGACTTAAAGGAAACCTGTTTCTGAGAAATAGAGAGGCTGCCATTGCTGACCTTCATATGAAAATGCTAGTTTCATATTGATCATCTGACATGATCCGGGAACAACCGTGCAAATTAGAAAGTCTGAATGAAAATCTGCATGCTTAATGGTCAACACTTCAGAAACTACTGAAGCTACTGATTTACCATGGCAGTCACGGAACTATGATACATTTTCTGAAAGAGAGGTAAGCAATGGAGACCTAAATACTTACTACATGTTTCCCTTAAGGTAGAACTCCAGTTATTTTTAAAATTCATTTGGATAGAATAGGAAGGGGTTTTAAAACTATTTTATTTATACTGACTCACCTTTGAGAAAATCTCCCCTTACTTCCTGTTTTGTTATTGAATCTATCTGATGGGAGACATAGAGAACAATAAATGCACTTTTATTGGGTGAGTGGATAAAGTTTTATCTCTATGTTGTTGCAATGTATGACTATGTTGAGGAAAATGTTTTTCTTTCTGACATGTCAGCAGAACAGGAAGTGAGGGAAATCTACCAAGAGGTGAACAGGCAGTGGTGAAACCATACAATGTGTCTAACCCTTACCCTAACTAACCAAAATTAAAGAAAAAAGAAAACTTTTGTTAGAGTTCTACTTGAATTGTTTTCTTTATCCAAATTAATGTTGAACAGGTTGAATAACCCTCTAGCTTCTTATATCCTTTGAAGATTCTGGTGGTGATAACTCTGTTTCTTATTTTCCACAGCTATCCCAAAGGGTCTCACGTTCTTTGCTGCATTTTTTACATAAGTGACTTTATATAACTAAAATGCAGTGTGAGCAAGATTCAATATGTAGAGTAGAGCTGGTAAAATAATAGATCATGTCTTTACAAGCTGACAGAACTAAGAACCTAAGAGACCTTCACTTAGTAAAAGCAAACCTTGAAACTTTAGAGATCACACCACTGGAGTTCCTAAGAGATACAAGACAGGGGATGATTCAACCTACCAACACCTCCCATAACTGAAATATCAGTTTTGGTAGAGTTACCATGTAACGTTAATCTCACGTATATGCAGAACAAGCAGCCATACTAATGTGTGCATCTAGATTTTCACCACACATCACAGTATTTTCCTGGGTTCATTGGGGTCCCTTTGGGACAGTTGAAATGTTCAGCAAAGTCTTTTGAGTTTGACAAGGTTCCAATCACTCTGAACTTTGCAGGACTGTGGGGATCCGTAACTAATCCTTCATGGCTACTCTCTGGAGTACGTACAGAGCACCATACCTGCAAAAAAGTAGAAAAAGCTCAGTGCCAACATTAATGTTCACGCAAATCTAGGACAATTACTGTCATTTAGGACAGTCTACATAGGTCCGTTATTTTTCTTTTCACCTGTGCGAATCCAACAAAAAAGAGTTGGTGGTTGGACAGCCCAACTCCAGGCAATCGTTTTTCCTCACCATGTTTCTGCAGCCAAGATTTGTAAGCCTGAAACAAGAATTTGACATATAAAAGTATTTCAAGCTAGTAATCAAGACCAAAAAATGCTACACTAGTATTCATAAAATCTGAACAATGCCTAAGATGATATAATATGTCACTTACATGGTATGCTGCTTTCAGTCCTCCATTGTCTGCTATGTTTTCCCCCAGTGTTTGTCTTCCATTGACTTTCTCTCCATTTACACTGTAAGCATTGTACTGACTGACCATACACTCAGTACGGTTTTTAAATGCTTCCAAAGAAGAATTTTGCCACCAAGGTCGCAAATTTCCATCCTCATCATATTCTCGACCTGCAAAGGAACATGACAGTGGATGACTGGGCTTAAGTGTACTTCATATAACCCATGTAAATCACTAGTACCCTTTACCAACAAAAATATATAGCATTACTACTCTTAATTCTTGTTCCTATCGTCTACACAAAGTCATTGACTAATAAGCAATTATTTCTTTTCTGCACTAGAGTAACTTAAAAAAAATCTCCTACTAGTGCATATATTAATTGACACACTATGCAAGTCTTGAACTACTGTACTCCAGCAATGACCTGTATGAGGTCCACACAATCCTTGGTCATTACAGCATGACGGGATGGTAAAGGAGTAAGGCTTTATACTAAGTATTACTAAATATTCTATTGAATACCTAAGTGTAGGGTCTTCTCTGATAACTGGCTTATTGCAAGAAAGTAGAATATGAAGTCTGGACTTTACTCAGCTTTTTTTCATGACAAAATCCTAACCTATGGAGGAAATGTCTCCAAAAAAACATGTGTTAAGGTATAATAATATATTTTTTTTAATTCAACGGATTTTTTTTTCTTGGAGGGCACACAGGAAGTCATTACCTTTGGTTATACTGCTGCCTACAGGAGGATTGGCAAATAATAAAACAGAAGCCAAGGTTAACCCCTCACACTACCAGCATACCTCTGGTCTGTAGCAAAGCTCAATATGAGAGAATTATCATAAACACAGAGGGGTGGAACCTGTGTCCTCAATGGACTCCAAAAACAATTTTCCTGTGGATGCAAAAAAACATTTTTGCTCTTGTCCTTTGTGGAAGAAAAAGGCATAGATCAGAGTGTACTGATCCCCAAGGGGTTCAGGGTTCTGAAGAAGAGGGTATAGCCCTCGAAACACGCAAGACAGTTAGGATCCCAGTGAAGTCCTCCTGAGATCTGGAGTATGCTGAGTCTAATGTACAACTATGCTACGGATGTGTAGCTCAATATGCTGTTTTATTTACATGGTTTGGGAGTATATTTTAATGTGGATTAATAAAAACTGTCACATGGAATAATGCATTAGGCTGGTGTGCCCTCTTTTGTTTGTGTTTTATAGTTGATCCCACAGGGCCACCAGGGCATCTACTGCTTTCACTAGAGGATCCCTGTACCTGGAGGCATTCCGTAACTAACTTTTACCACCACAGAGTTAGAAAATCATCCCGCATGAAACCCAGTGCACAAATGTCTCTTCCAGGCTTTTACAATGGTGTCCAGTCCAGTGGGGCCTGGACATGAATTTCCGAAAGCCAGCTGGAGAAGACTGCACCAAATAACTGCAATTAGAGAGATAAACTCTAACAGCGATGCAGAAAAGAATCTGCATTGAGAAAAAAAAAGTTTGAAGAGCTAAAAAAAAAGGGGGTAATATCAAAAAGTTAGTCTTTCGCACAGTAGAGCTGAAAAAAAGATGTCCATCTGCTTAGAGCACTAGCAAAAACTAAGGCACACAATACATGAGAAGGGTTATTTAGGGCGGGCCTACAGTTTGTTGTTTTTCAGTGTCCAGTCTTCCTTCAGGTGACATTATAACTGAAGGTTAAGATTTACTGTGGCCCACAATGGACACACAAAGAAAGAAAAGTTCTTTTAACTCTTTAATACCTGAGCAATTCTGGTTTCTATTTTTTTTCTTTTACACGGCATTGGTTTAACTGTTCTGATCATGATTGACATTAATAATAATTCTGTATGTCAAAGGTACAAATAGGCCTTCTATTGGCAGTAAAATTATATAAATATTATTTGTGGTCTTAAGAATATATGGGGAAAAGGAAATACAATAAACAGTATTTAGTAGTTGTCCCCTCATTAAAACTGAAGTTAACTTAAAAACATTTTTTTTTTTACAGCTTTAGTTACTTAACTTACCCATAATGAAGTATGTCCCACGAAGAGCATTCTGCTGGATTCTGTAGAAGTCTTCAGTCCTCTTCCCGCTGCTGAACGTGGGAGTTAACAACTTCAAGCTGGGCTGCACTAAAGATGATCCAATGTGGACACGCCCCTCCTGCTCTCTTCTTCACAGGATTCACTGAGAATCTTGTGACTCATCAGACTTCCCCACTCACAGATTGTGTTGCAGGCAGTAACCAGTAAAAGAACATTTCTCAATTAAAGCGGAGCTCCACCCAAAAGGGGAAGTTCCGCTTTAAGGATTAGCACCTTTGGGGAGCGGGTCCCCAAATTTGACAGGTACCCGCGCCAACTTCTGCTGCGATCGCCTAGGCGATCGGAAGCGGAAGTTGTCCTCCTACTCTTCCTCCCCGTAGTCTCCTGGGAAACATTACAGGTCCCAAAGGACTACGGGGCCATTCACAAAGCACAGGGTTTCTCGCATATGCGCAGTGGGCATCCAGCTGTGAAGCCGCAAGGGGTCACAGCTGGTTACCCACACTGAAGATGCCGAAGCCAGGGAGAGAAGACAGCCGTTGAAACCAGCGGTGGTGAGGACACCGCTGGACCGAGGGACAGGTAAGTGTCTGTATTTTAAAAGTCAGCAGCCACAGTTTTTGTAGCTGCTGAGTTTTATTTTTTTTTTCCAGGTGGAACTCCGCTTTAGGGAGTAGGCAGGAGGGGGCAAGTCCCCATCATCTCAGCTTTAGTGCAGTAAAGCCTGGAGACCAAAACTGTTAACCCCCACAGAGCCGAAGGTTCAGCAGGAGGAAGTAGACAGGGAAGCCCTGCAGTGAAGATGTCTACAGAATCCAGCAACCTCCACATCATGGGACATACTTCATTAAAGGTATGTAACTAGAGTATCGATCTGTCTAGATTTGTAAATTATAAACCACATACCTGTTAAAACTATGTATTTTCTTGGAGTTTTTAGCATGCACAAACGTAGGTACTGTAAATGCCATTTACACACAGATAAATCTTGCCCCAATAATGAGAATTACATGAAAACCTATTGCAACAATATTTTTTAAGCTGAATAGGATGTCAGATGTTGGTGATGAATAATACTATATAATCATGTTTAAGACTACATTTCTGTACATTTGAATATTAAACACCACATATTTGTACCTAAAGATAGAGGATGCTCTGCTCAAACCCATCTCCCTTTTAGCTCCAGAAAATGGTATAATTCAAATCTCCTCTTTACACTCTACAAGGTGACAAAAGGCAGCAGCACATCAGATGCACTAAATGCCTCTTTATTCATTACTCATATGCTTATTACTAGGGATGCATTGATATATCAGCAGCCAAAAATAGTGTTATTAGCAAAATGCTAACAGGAAAAAAGGTGCCGATATATGCAAAGTCGAGTCTCATAGACTTTCATGCAAAAACACTCACTAGTGACTTCAATGCAAAATCGTGTCTCATAGACTTACATGCAAAGCTGCGTCCTCATTGACTTCAATGCGAAAACACCCCCTAGTGACTTCAAAGCAAAATCGCATCTCATAGACACTCATGATGAAACGCTCTCTAGTGGCTTCAATGCAAAATTGCATCTCATAGACTTTCATGCAAAGTCGCATCCTCATTGTCGTCAATGTAAAAACATCATAGACTTAAAAGCAAAGTTGTGTCATTGACTTCAATGCAAAAACGCCCCCTAGTGACTTCAATGCAAAATCACATCTCATAGACTCTCATGCAAAAACACCCCCTAATGACTTCAATGCAAAATTGCGTCTCATAGACTTTCATGCAAAGCTGCGTCTCTATTGACTTTAATGTAAAAACGCCCCCTACTGACTTCAATTGCAAAATCGCATCTTATAGACTTACATGCAAAGTTGCATCCTCATTGACTTCAATAAAAGAAAAAACACAAAAGGGCGCACTCTCCTTGTGCATTACCTGGAGTAGCTTTGAAAAAGGGAGTTCAACTCCCGAAACGCTTCAGATTTCCCACTGGGCACCATCATCACAGGACTCCAGTTGTGTGACATTGACCCATTTGGCTTCATGTTTGTTTTTTACATTCGTTTTGTGAATATCCATTTGTCACGTTTTTAATAAATTCATTTGTAACCACGGTAATGCACGAGGAGAGTGCGCCCTTTTGTGTTTTTCTTTTGCTAGCATCAAGACTCCCCCATCTTTAGAGGGCTGCACCTCACCAAGTGACAGTTACCGTTTTATATGTGGACCATGAAGATTAGAGCGCTGATGTTTGTTTCATTTGGATGTCATTGACTTCAGTGTAAAAACACCCCCTAGTGACTTCTATGCAAAATTGCGTCTCATAGACTCTCATGCAAAAACCCCCCCTAGTGACTTCAATGAAAAATTGCGTCTCATAGACTTTAATGCAAAGTCGTGTCCCTATTGATTTTAATAAAAAATGCCCCCTAGTGACTTCAATGCAAAATTGCCAACCATGGTAATTACATTTTTTTTAAAATATAAAAACTGTCTGTTTCAGTTTTGGTCTTTGGCCATGTGCATCCTGAATTTTTGGTTTTGGTTTTGGCACCAGAATTTTTATTTTGGTGAACCACTACTTATTACTTCAGTATGCAGATAACAATACCATACTGTATACTGACTTAACATCCTTAGTTGTCATTCAGTACTCTTACCTGTATCTGAGGTTGCAGCTAAAGAGGAATTTCAGGCATTCGATGTGCTGTTACCTTTTGTTACATTGAACAACGTACACAGTTTGACGTTTTTATTCTTTCACAATAAGCTTTGTAAATTGAGCTTAATGTGTACTGTTGTTTCTTACATTACCTTCAACTGATAAATCAGAATAAGCCTTTTGTTTATATAATGCCAGATATAAAACATTCAACACAATGACATCTATTAGTCACCCTGAACACCATTTCTAGCTGTAGACTGCATAATTTGTCACAAACCTTGATCATCAAATGCATGCGTCAGTTCGTGTCCATCATCACCACCCCAATACCCCCGAAATTTAGAGCCCTGAAGAAGAAGAGGAAACAAAAGCATGAGTGAGAGGAGACATGCACTAGAAATGCAAAAGAACAGCTTAGTGTAGTATTAGTGTGGTGGTTTAGTTTTTAATGGCAATAAAGGTCAGTAGAATAGTGGTGAAAAAGTAAGTGATAATTTAAAGATTAGACCCTGATTTCTGATATAGTTACCATAGTAAGGCATAGCAATGGAATGATCAACATTTTGAATTGTGTTTATGTCTACTAAATGCCTGTGACATCTGTTTCCACCTGAAATTTTTTTCGGATAAATAGAAGTTGGAACAAGCATAAGGTAAGTGGATTGCAGAGTGACTACCTTGATCATAAAATGGGCAGTTTTGATTCAGTTTTGGATTTTTGGCAGTTTTGATGTACTGTAATATTTTCCTGTGACTTTAGTTACTGTGAAAAACGTCAGTGGCTGTTTACACCCCTTCCAACCATGCCACTAATCTGAATATAGTAACTGGCAATTGCTTTGATATAATTTTCAGTACATATCTGTGGAAAGTATTTTGGAGAGATTTGAGTTGGAGGTATAGTTTAGTGTGGTGTAGATATACTTTCTGTTTATTCACCTGGAGGTTATGACTACAAGTTATTAATGGTACTGATCCAATCTTTTTATTTTGTGTAAATCACATTCAACCCTTTGTTTCTCTTGCTTATCTTCCAAAACGCATTTTCTTCCCTTTGGTCCAATTGGCTTTCAGAACTTGCTGTCTGTTCCTCAGTTTCCCTCTCCACTAAAAGCTGACTCCACAGCAATTTGTAGGGAAGTCCTTTAACACCAGAAGAGACTGCAAGAGGTGAGAGTGGTGCGGTCTGCAGGTCCTGTACGTTATTTACACGTATATATACAAAGTAATGGATCAGGTGCCAATTCACTGATATCCACTGAGTTAGATTATGGTTTTCAACTGTGGGAACCTGGGAGAGACTTTCATAAGAAGAAAAAAATAGAAATTCTAACATCTAAAATGTCCATAACAGTATAATAAAAATCCCTAAGGCAGCCTGTCGCACCCTTTTTACCGCACAGGAACCCATGAAATTGTTTTCAGGCCTCAGGGAAACCCCATTAAAATTCATAGCACATAGTAAGGCTGGTAGGTCGTAAAGCGTTTTAAATAAAATAATAAAGAATGGGGTTCATGTAATAATAAAAAAATGGAATGGGTAATATTAATGGATAATTATTTCTGTAATTGTTAGCTGCAGTTCATCAGTCAAAGGTTCTGCAGTAACTCTGATCCAAATGAAACTGGCTCTTTGGAAGTTGTATGCACCAGCTGCGATTGACACCCCCTGAAGCCAAGCACAATTGGTCTTGTGGGAGAATGGGCATTTGCAGACAGTAAGTGTGCCTACTACAATGCCCTTTAATGAAAATGAATAAACACGCAGTGATGAGGGAAGAAAATTATAGAATAACATAGCTTTGGCCATGCACCAGAGACATATGCAGATGGGCCAAAATAGGTGAGGCTGGGGTTCTTTAATAAATTAAACCTAGCCTGTAAAAGAAGATATTTACCTTTCTGGGGTTCATGTCTTAAAGCTCTGCTGTGTTGCAGATCTCCAGGCATTGCATGTAACCAACACTTCTGGGTATGTCAAATACCTACTGGCCCCTTTGCCATGCAAGATGTAGGTGCCAGCATTAGGAACACAGCATGTGGCAGGGTATACATCATCTTCTTCTACAGTCTTGGCTTCATTTAATTTGGTGTGCTTACTAGCAAAGTCGCTTTCACATAACACGTAACCTGACCATTAAATATCACCTTCAGCCTCAGACTTAAAGTAAACTTGCAATGAAAGAAACATGGAAGCTGCCATTGCTGACTTATTCTGAAAATATTAGTAGCCTGACTAAAATACTGACCCTCTGGCTTCAAATCATTGCATTATTTATACCTTGAACAAGTATGCAGAAATGGACAACTTCTCTAAACTTCTTTATCTGTATGCTTGTTTCAGGTTGATGACTTGAAGTATTGAAGCCAATGAGTCAGCAGAAAGCTGGCCATACTTGGCTCAGCCTTTTTCATTTGATTTCGCCATCCGCACATTTAAGGTGAATGGGGAAATCTTCCCTGCTGTGTCTTTGTAATCTTACAGAATACACTGATCAGTTCTGCAAGTGATTTTTGCTGACAAGGTCACTGTAACCCAATAGACCATAACCTTAACCCCCCAAATGCCTGACTGTAACAGGAACCTAATTTGTAACAAAGAACTAACGTCTATAGCACAATACTTACCTAATAATGCACCTCAAGCAGCAGCACTGAAAGCTACTAGAGCACCGAAATGCCAAAGAGATAATATTCCAAGGTTCATAAGCATATTGCTTGATTTTTTATTCGATTGATTATTGTTTACTTGTTTGCATTTCAAAATATGTTTATTTCCTTTTTATTTAGGGAGTTAGGTATTCATCTTATATGATAAAATTTTGAATGTTATTCAAATGAAGAAAATGTTTTTTTTAATATATGTACAGTATATTTAAAGCAAGTAGAGACATTGCAGTGGCACCAAATGCTGATTTCTAGTACTTGCATAGAATTTGTCAATAGGCATTGTTCAGCTTGCAAGTTCAACATACGTACTTTGGATGTGTAGGAGCATAGAATGGAGCCTGAAGTATGCCTGCTGGAAAGACTATTTTCATTCTTATTTGGCAGGTAATAAGCATTGACAGTCTGGGGTGTCATACTCCATCTGCAAAAATATTAGATAAATTAATACCTATTCTGTGTTTCAGTACACGACAGCTGTATAAACAATACATACAGGATAGGCAGATGTGTGCAAGCACATTATTTTTTATTTGTTTCCACACTGGGAACCAGATAGCACTATGTGGTTTCCCTGTGGCTGTGATTACAGAAAAGATGCAGGGACCATTTCCCTGCATTTCCCATAGGTGCAGCAGCCTATTCAAATGAATGGGCTGCTGTGTCCGTGCAAACGCGGCTGCTGGGAAACTGCCAAAGTGTGAACCTAAAGCATGTTTAAATCATTCTGTTGGTCTATCTGTAAAATCCAAAAAGTATTCTTACTGTTCTCGGTTAGGTGGCTTTCTTAATTGTTCAGCCATTAGTTTGGCTGAAAAGTTATAGAAATTCAACATGTTCTGAAAGAAAGAGTCATCGGCCACTTCAAACTGGGAGTAAAAAGACAAAAAAAGCAACATTACTGTGAGTTCAATGTGTAATTTTTTTAATTATAAAATTCATGTGTGGGTTTTTCTTTTTATCTAATATCATCTTACCCCATCATACACCTCATCCAGTTCTTTAGTGTCCAGTATGAAGTCAGGAAATCCGATCATGTCATATATGGCGTCTGCCTAAAACATCAGACAAAGATGATCATTGCAGAGCTCTGTATAATTACGTGGACATTGTCAACAGTCTCCATATTTCCCCATCCCCGGATAGGCAGCACTGATAGGCGGCACTGACTGGCACTGATAGGCGGCACTAACAGGTGGCACTGATTGGCAGCACTGATAGGTGGCACTGACTGGCATTGATAGGTGGCACTGACTGGCACTGATGGGTGACACTGAAAGGCAGCTCATATGGGCACTGATATGTGGCATTGATGTGCACTGTTAGGCACAGAAATGTGGCACTGATGGGCACTGGAAGGTGGCATGGATGAGCACTGACACATGGCACTGATGGACACTGACAGGTGGCACTGCTGGGGCTACACTGATCATCAGGGCACACGGATCATCAGTGCTCTGATGATCAGTGTAGATGTCCCCACCGAGGAATGCCGATTACTGGCTCTCCTCTCGAGCTGTCAGCGTGACAGCTCATGAGGAGAGAAATGCAGATAACCGACATTTCCCTGTTTACATGTGATCAGCTGTGATTGGACACAGCTGATCACATGACCGAGCCAACATCTTTGGCTCTTTCCGTGGATCGGTGATCCACTGTGTCCGAGGGACACAGTACACCACCGATCGCCGCACTGCACGCTCCCGGAGCCGTGCATGCACGGTTAGAATGGGAGGATGTCATATGACGTCCTCTCAGAACGAGAGAACCGCCTTGCGCTTGTCATTGTACTATATGGCAGGCGGGAGGCGGTTAAAGAAGTTTACTGAATTCTGATAAAATTGATGATTGGGGGTCAGCAAGTAGATTGAGTAAATTATGCACACATATGTGGTCCTTATAACTCAATCTTCTTGAAGCTAGTTATATGATCAGAACCTGCAGACAACTTTTGTTCTCACCAGATGTCACTAAATTGGCCACATGCTAATATGGGGCTAATATATAAACGCAGGACTGGGTCTTGTAGTCACTGGACTGGTGCCACACATTTACTTTATTTCTCATCTGTTACCTACCCCCAGCCCCCTTCATTGCTTCATGCTTAGATTTCTCTAATCCACCGCTGTCCCTTCATTGTTAAAGCTGTACCCCAAAGCAAACTGCTATATATATAGATTAAATATTAAATTATTTGTGTCCATCTTATTGTTCCAGAAGCAACTTACAGTAACTTACAGTAACTCCCCCAGTCCTAGCTTCTTATTTCCTCTGTAACAGAGCCACGTCCTGTGTGATGCTCACTTTAGGGCTGGCAGAAATCCTTTTTGGCGTTAGCCATGCTTGATGCCTCACAAACAAATGTGGTAAACTTAAAACTAAAAAAACATAAATGAATGAAAAATAAATGGGGCTCAATTGATGGACCACTTGCTTTATTTTGCCATCACTTTGTTATGTTTCTATATAGACTTTATAGGAAGAAACTCCAGTGTCTGGGGTCCATACAAGTACACTATATGCCCAAATGTGTTGGGATGCCTGCCTTTATACTCACATGAAAATTAATGGCATCCCAGTCTTAGTCCGTAGGGTTCAATATTGAGTTGGCCCACCCTTTGCAGCTATAACAGCTTCAACTCTTCTGGGAAGGCTGTCTACCAGGTTTAGGAGTCTGTCTATGGGAATGTTTGACCATTCTTCCAGAACCGCATTTGTGAGGTCAGGCACTGATATTGGACAAGAAGGCCTGGTTCTCAGTCTCCACTCTAATTCATCCTAAAGGTGTTCTGCCTGGGTTTTCAAAGGTTTTTGGTCCACACAAAGGAGATTTACTGTATATCCTTTGTAAGTATTCAGGACGATTTTTAAATGAAAGTTTTCATGCCCAGAGTTCCGATTTATTAATTAAACATTAAATCTCCTTGTACAGCAGCATGCAAATGTACCGACAAAGTACATGCTGATAGAGTGAGAGAGGAAAATGGTGACTGCAACTGCAGACTTGGATTCAAGCATGTTTTCATTCGTTTATCTCCATTAAATGGAAGTAGTTTATGGAAGAAAGAAAAGATTTTTGCCTTTTGTTCAGCTCAGAGGAAAATGAGAAGGACACTGCATTTCTGGCAATATCAGCAAGCATGCTTACTCTACTCTGTGAAAATGTTCTTGGGCTGACAAATGAAAATAACAATTTAACAATGTGTTATATTTTTGTTCTTCGGTTTAGTTATCCTTTAAGTGATGCTAAGTTTGTTTCTCGTTAAAGTGATGCCAAACCCAAAGGCAAACATTTGTTAGACTGCAGCTTACCAATTACATGTGATAGCTGCATTAGTTTTCCTTTTTAGGCTTTCTTTCCTTTAATTTCATCTAGTGATCCTACCAGTAGCTCTGTTGTTTTTCAACAGAACAAGCTCTCCTGCAAATGCAGCAGTTCAGAGTGTTGAGAAAAACTTTTTACCACTGATCAGCTTTTATTTATTCATGTAAAACCTTTATCACAAAGAAAGCAAAACTATTAACTAGTAACTGCAGTTTGAGATAGTGTTTGGCTTCAATTTGTTAGTGTATCTAAACCTGCAAGTACATCTAATACTCCCCCAGATTAACAATTCTTCTGTCCAAAGGTGCCCCCTGTGCTCCTTCATCCAAATTGGTGGCACGCTAATACAGGTATGTTACTGGCCAGATCACCAGGTGAAAAGCAGAAGGAAGAGGCCTAAAATAGAAAATGAATGCAGCCACCAAATCTAATGAATGATAAGCTGTAATATGTTAATATTTTTGGTTTTGGGTTTAATACCACTTTAACTGTTGAATGCAAGTAAACACAGTCTAGTTTATCAATGTGTCTTGAAATAGTTTTTGCATTGCTCTGTAGCTACCAATCAAGTGACAGCAGTCATTTTCCTGTGCAGGTCTGAAAATGAAGTTAGAAAGTTGATTGTTTGATATGAACAACAAGGATAATTCTGCTTTTAAACTCTTTAACTAAATGACGTTCACAAGTGCCTTGTTGTGAAAAAATAACTGACAGAATTAAAAGCGAAGTACAACACCTTCTCCTTAGCTGTTCTCTTTGTCTTCTCATCCATCCATGATAAACTTGCTAAAGTGAATTCAAAGGCTGTTCGGATTTCAGCAATCATCTGCTCTGCCTGAATGTAATTGAATTGCAAATTATTGCTGCTCCTTGAACACCGATATACAATTACTTCAGAGGTTGCATCCAGTCATGGGTACTTACAATTGTTTTACTGTTCTTATCAAATGTCGATTTAACAAACAGAGATCCCAGAGCAAATCCAAGAGTATCATCTGTATTGGATAAACAGGTCTGCCAGCGAGGGGTGCAGGACTGCAATCAAGAGGAAGAAAATGAGCAAATGACAGCGGGAACATCGAAGTACCTGTATTTTGATCAGAAATTGTTGGAAATGACACTGTACTGGTGCCCATACAAAGCCCCATATTTGCTTTTGTTCAATGGTGGCAGTAAAAAAGTCATATAACAATTTATGTTCAGCAACTTGCAACCAACATTCTGGGAAAAATCCTTTGACCTGTTAGTTATCATTTCCTTTTTCCAATAGAGAACGAAGCAAACCTTTAATCCATATGATCCATAACAGAACAATAGCAGTGTGGTAATGCAAAAAGTCATAGATAGATCTGCCGCAACCCATCACTTTCAGAGATCTGCCACTGAAATATAATAATAAAGGTAGCCTAATATGACCCCACTTTAGAGTTGAACATCTTATGTTTTCAGAAACAAGGGCAAGCCCATTTAGAAGAAGCTAAAGAACACGACTTTGTAATAGTACCTTTTTTGCCCCATACAGTGACTCAAGCAGCTTATCCTGAGCTTTCTCAAATCTGGAATCCAGACTGGGTGACATCTTCTGGACCAGATTCCAAATCAAGTAATTGTTTAAGATCCTAAAGATTGAGACAAGAGAGAAAACATAGGAGGATATAGGGTGAAGAGAAAAAAACACCAAAAAAAGATGTCCCATTTAGAAGTTATTGACAAATGTCTGCAAACCGAAAATAGGAAGTTTAAAACCTTCAGTTCCCTTTTGACATACAGTATGTAAAAGCCCAAGTACAGGGGTTAATGTGCAAAAACCTGAGGTACCCACAAGCATGACATGATATTTCTTTATCTGTCTGTTTTCAGCTAGATCAGAAGATGATCCTATGTCTTTAAGAGCTATGGTTACTGTCTAGAGCAGCGGTTCTCAACCTGGGGGTCGCGACCCCTTTGGGGGTCGAACGACCATTTCCCAGGGGTCGCCTAAGACCATCGGAAAACACATATTTCCGATGGTCTTAGGAACCGAGACACCGCTGCAGTCTCCCCGGCGATGTGTGGGCGGGATGATACGCTGCTGTCACCCAGCCACACCTCCAAGATCGCTCAGCAGCTCCGCCTCCTCGCCGCTGATTGGCCACCGGAACTGTAGCTCAGGAGAGGCACACAGGCGGCCAATCACCGGCGAGGAGGTGGAGCTTGGAGAGGAGGAACCAAGCGGCAGCGCGCGTACATCAAAGAAGACCGAGGGAGCGAGTGAAGAGGAGAGCGGCCAGAGAAGGAAGACAGCTGACAGGTAAGTGAGAGAGCGAGCCCAGGCTGGAGCAGGGGTCAGCAAGGTAAGTATCATTGGTGTCAGTGGGAGGAATAGTGCCCCATCATTTGTGTCACTAATACCAACGATGGGGCACTATTCCTCCCCCCACTGACACCAACGATGGGGCACTACTCCTCCCCCCACTGACACCAACGATGGGGCACTACTCCTCCCCCCACTGACACCAACGATGGGGCACTATTCCTCCCCCCACTGACACCAACGATGGGGCACTATTCCTCCCCCCACTGACACCAACGATGGGGCACTATTCCTCCCCCCACTGACACCAACGATGGGGCACTATTCCTCCCCCCACTGACACCAACGATGGGGCACTATTCCTCCCCCCACTGACACCAACGATGGGGCACTATTCCTCCCCCCACTGACACCAACGATGGGGCACTATTCCTCCCCCACTGACACCAACGATGGGGCACTATTCCTCCCCCCACTGACACCAACGATGGGGCACTATTCCTCCCCCCACTGACACCAACGATGGGGCACTATTCCTCCCCCCACTGACACCAACGATGGGGCACTATTCCTCCCCCCACTGACACCAACGATGGGGCACTATTCCTCCCCCCACTGACACCAACGATGGGGCACTATTCCTCCCCCCACTGACACCAACGATGGGGCACTATTCTCCCCCCACTGACACCAACGATGGGGCACTATTCTCCCCCCCCACTGACACCAACGATGGGGCACTATTCTCCCCTCCACCCACTGACACCAACGATGGGGCACTATTTTCCCCCCCCCCCCTGACCCCAATGATGGGGCACTATTCTCTCCCCCACCACACTGACATCAATGATGGGGCACTATTCCCCCCCCTGACACCAATGATGGGGCACTATTCCTCCCCCACTGACACCAACGATGGGACACTATTTCCCCCCCCACCGACTCCAATGATGGGGCACTATTCTCCCCTCCCACCACACTGACACCAACGATGGGGCACTATTCCTCCCACTGACACCAACGATGGGGCACTATTCCTCCCACTGACACCAACGATGGGGCACTATTCCTCCCACTGACACCAACGATGGGGCACTATTCCTCCCACTGACACCAACGATGGGGCACTATTCCTCCCACTGACACCAACGATGGGGCACTATTCCACCCACTGACACCAACGATGGGGCACTATTCCTCCCACTGACACCAACGATGGGGCACTATTCCTCCCACTGACACCAACGATGGGGCACTATTCCTCCCACTGACACCAACGATGGGGCACTATTCCTCCCACTGACACCAACGATGGGGCACTATTCCTCCCACTGACACCAACGATGGGGCACTATTCCTCCCACTGACACCAGCGATGGGGCACTATTCCTCCCACTGACACCAGCGATGGGGCACTATTCATCCCACTGACATCAGCGATGGGGCACTATTCCTCCCACTGATACCAACGATGGGGCACTATGCATCCCACTGACATCAGTGATGGGGCACTATTCCTCCCACTGATACCAACGATGGGGCACTATTCCTCCCACTGATACCAACAATGGGGCACTATTCATCCCACTGACATCAGTGATGGGGCACTACTCCTTCCACTGACACCAATGACATGGCACTACTCCTCCCACTGCAAAATTACAGTTATGAAGTAGCAATGAAAATAATTTTATGGTTGGGGGTCACCACAACATGAGGAACTGTATTAAGGGGTCGCGGCATTAGAAAGGTTGAGAACCACTGGTCTAGAGGAACAGCTGATAGGTAGGTTATAAATCCTGATGTGAACCCTATGGCTAAAAAGATGACACTTATTTGAGCTCAGATGTTATGTTTTTCTGATTGTTGATTCTGGTGTATGAAGGCTGTCAGATGTGCATACATATCCAAATGCCCTTGTAGGTCTATTGGCAGCATTAAAAAGGCAAACCAGCCTAAAAAAGCTCAATAATAAAGACCTTTCATGCCCACATAAATCTGACACAGTTACAGTACATAGTAATGGAGATAGCAATATCTACATTGCTTTATCAAATACCACCTAGTGGACAGCTACCTAAAATGACAACATAGCACTTGTGTGCATAGAAATCAAGTAACTATTGCCCGGAAGTTCCTTTGGCATAATACATTAATTCTCTAAAGTCTGCTATATACCTAAACGTATGTATTGTTAACTCTGCATTTAAAAAAAATGGATTATTCATTTCAATTGTTTCCATAAATGTTTAGTTAGGTATTTTCATCATTCAGCCTTACCAGGTCAGTACACATTTTACGGTAGTCTGTACTGGGCCATACCATATATAAATGTCAGTGTGACTTCTGCGCTACCTACTGTGTGTTATTAACCATTTAATAAACCAACAAATATCAATAGTAAAGTGATATAATACATATAATTCGTGGTTAGGGTGCTGCTCACATCATTATGTGTTCCCGCACTTAATTATCAGATATTTAGTAGGTAATATGCAGCGCTCCCTCTAGATCACTATCATGGGTTCAGTAAATCAAATGAGCATTCCTAAATGTCATACAAAAGTGCATACACTAATTTCTGTGAATAATAATATAGCAAATGCGCATGCACAAATCTCATGCCAATGTGCCTATAGTTTACTCCTGTAAAAAATTATATAGTCCAGACACCTAAATCCAAACAATCTTTCAATATCCTTTTCTTTAAAAATCAAAAAAGTCCCAATGCCTGCAGTAGAGGAAGATGCATGATTTGCACCATTATATGGCATTGGGACTTTTTTATTTTTAAAGAAAAGGATATTGAAAGATTGTTTGGATTTAGGTGTCTGGACTATATCATTTTTTACAGGAGTAGACTATAGGCACATTGGCATGAGATTTGTGCATGCACATTTGATATGTTATTATTCACAGAAATTAGTGCATGCACTTTTGTATGACATTTGATTTATTGAACCCATGATAGTGATCTAGAGGGAGTGCCGCATATTACCTTCTAAATAACTGGACCATACCATTTAACTCCTCATACTATACTAAATCAGTGGGTTTTGGCACTGGGACCTGTGGTATGTTCAGCACACAGGACCCTAGTGCAGAGAGATGAGTATGCAAACAATGAGTTAAATTTACAGACAGAATTAGTGTTAGGGTTACAGGTAAGGTTAATGTGATAATGAGTGTGAGGGTTACAAGGGATGTTGTGAAGGCTAATGTCAAGCTTACAGGTAGATTTAGTGCTATGGTTAGTGTTAGAGCTTCAGGGAGGTTTATAGCGAGAATAAATGTAATTCGACTACAGGGGGTGGTGTGAGAGGACCTCTCAGCTCCGTTGCACATCACCTGATACTGAAAGGTAATGAGAGACATTTATCAAGCAAATTAGTGACATTAGATGCAAATCAGACCGCCTCCCATTTACCAAACACCTCTCATTTATGCAAAAAATGTATTGTGTATTTGCAACCCCAGATCCCTATTCCCATAATCCTGGGCAGTCAACTGTGACTGATCTAAAAAGGTATGCGATTTTTCACTGTAGATGGGACAGATTTTCACTTTATATAAGGGTTTCTCAACCAGAGTTCCTAAAGAGATTGCTAGGGGTTCCTTGAGCAATTTTTGCCTCTTCGATAAATTCCCACTGACACCATTGATCTATCTGTAAGGTAGTAATGCTTCCCAATGTCCACAAATATAAGGAGCATTTTTCCCACTGACTAACACACCACTGTATCTAGTTGTAGATATAGTGATTTTTAGTAAGGGTTCGCTGAGACCAGAAAGTTATTTTAAGGGTTCCTCCATGTTGAAAAGGTTGAGAAAGGCTGCATCATACAGAAGCACAATTAAGAAGTGGTGAGGGTCAGGTTTCATTCAGTGGCAGTGCCACTTTAGAGTAGCAAAAGGAAGAATTTATGAATCAAGCTGTAACCTTGAAATAAATCTGACTCAAAATCTTTTTTATAACACTGCCTGGTTGAGTGACATCATTGACAAATGTTACCCAATGTATCATTTAATTAGCACTTCTGTATGCATATATGCTTGGTGAATTTATCATTAGTATTATTTTTTTTTAATGATGAAACTGCCAGTGTATTTTTTCTACTTTTGCACACTGGGGATCATTAGAACCCTAGAACCCTTTGTTGAATCTGGACTTCTTTCTGTGTTGTTCAAGCTTTAAAGGGGCAGAACTTATTCCAAATGAGCTGCTCCCAATTTTCTGCCATGTGTATGTCCTATTTTTATATGTTCACAGAGAAGACAGTAAGACAAAACTTTACAATGGTACCCTATTGTGGCTTCACATATTAGTGGAAATGTATGCAACAGAGATCTTTGTGCTGGCTAACTGACTTGATTGCTAGGGAATTTTTACTATTGTCCATTTTACAGGTAAGCCTGTCACACCCAACTCTTTCAAGGCTTAAGCCGACCATAGATGATGCGATTTTCTTTCCTGCATCCTGTGGTCGCTCGATTTCCTCCATCAACACAGTCAGTGTTTATAGGGGAATCCCTCCAGCAGAGCTATCGTGTTCCCCAGCAATGGGGCACAAGCCGTCCCTGCTGGGAGAACACAGTGATTATTGTTACTGACTATAGCCACTGGCAAAAATTGCATGAAAAATCAAACAGGCAGGTTGTACCCAAGTCATACAATATTTGAATTGGGCACAATCAGCCTGATCATAGATGGTTCCTATCTCGGCCGATCCCTGTTGAACCAGCCGAGATTTGAACCATATATTGTTTGAAGGTAAGGTAATATTACACAGGTATGATATGAACATAAGTAGATGATTTATTAGAATAAAGAAAAAAAATTATATTTCTTACATCGGATCTGTGCTGTTGACAAGGTCTGACACTTGTTGTAGATATTCCTTGCCATATACTACCACAGGCTCTGTTTCATTGATCTCCAATGGTGAGAGTGCAAAATTTAAATAATCCAACCATTCAAATGCAGGTGCAAGATTCTGCAACAAACAAAAGCAATATATGAAAGTGTACATTACAAGTAGTGTGTAGAGTTTCTACTAGTATCTACCTATCTGCTAGTAAGGCCTTATTCACATGGACATTGAGGCCCATACTCTGCGAATGGGTCGCATGTTTATCCAGCTTGAGTTGCCAGGTTCTGCGTGGAAGCATTCCATGTAAATGCACCCTTGTCAAACTGGAACAAGTGACTGTGTCCGTGCAGCCTCTGCATTCCCATACACTTACCGTATATGGGATGCCTGCACACACCACCTGACAGCTCATTTACTGTGCATGGGCCTCAGCACCCATTTGAACAAAGTCAAAAGATGATCAACTTTTGACCATATAGAATTTATCAGTTTTCTTTTGGTAGTTTTAACATAAAATATGTATTCCTTCTCTTTGACAAGGTTGCTCTGTATTACAGTAGTTACAGCATAACATTTTAAGTCTGTGTTCACCTGTAGCTCAGCCACAGTCATGCGGTTGTAGATTTTTTCCTCATCCCGACGCTCATCTTGAGGAACCGTGAGATTCGCCAGCTGGGTCTCAAGTTCCACAATCTGCGCCATCTGGACTTCAACAGAACCTATGGCACCCCCAAGCAGTAAGGCCATGTCCACCATGTATTCCTGGTATGCAGCTAGCACCTGTGAACAAAGACAGGAGAAAGTGGCATGCACAGAGTTTAAAGAGGAACTGTAGCAATCAAAAATATGTTATTACACTCAATATTTAATAGAAGTTTCTGATATGAATTAGAAATCAGTCACTGCCATCTGGAAAGATTTGCTATTATCTGTATGCAAAAATGTCCAACAGCAATGCTTTTCAATGCTTAGCTTCCTGACCCTACAGTGCATACAGGCAGGCAAATGTAGATCTGAAGTGAAAGTTCTAAAGCTGATGTCACAAGAGAGTGATCTTTTTACTGGAGACAACTTGCCAGTGACAGGATCACTAACTTACCATCTACCTATTAGTAGCAAGTCTCTACCTGGCTATCAAGAAAAGTGAGATGTCGCGCCCTCCCTGATCCCTTGCTAGCCAGGGTCATAGGCCAGCATTCTGGGCCAACAAGGAAGTAATTCCATAAAGGCAAGTGGAAGTCTGTCCCTGGCAATTCTGCAGGTGACATCAAATCAAATTGCTCACGTGAAATCAGCTAAACATTTATTTGTCCCTAAGTAAGTAAAGCTGGGTTGAACGGAAAAAAATCTCACAGAATCCCACGTCCACGCATGCAACTTGGACACCTAGATCTCCCCCACTGTGCTATTGTATTCTGACAGCAGGTACTATTCCCGCTGTCAGAATACACTGATCAGCGCTGCTGTCGTTGGCTTGTTTTCCAGCAGGACCAATCCACAAAAGGCCAGCCTTTATGTTGAATAGAGAGATACACACAGACTGAAGTTCATCCAGTTTCTGCTGAGCCAGCCAAATTTCAATACGTGTATGCCCAGCTTAATATAGTTTACTATATAAAAACCCTTGTAAATGTCAAAAATAATGTTAAATGCAGTTAAACTTGAGATTTTTTTATGATTCTAATGTTACCCCAACATTACATATTCCTGATATGTGTCTGTTGTATCATGTACTTATGTTAAAAAATGTTCTTTGTATTGCTTTGATGTGTAAAATACTTGGTGTTCCTGACAGTCCCCCTGCTTTCCTATTTCTTAGTTACTGACCACGCTAGTCATAAAAGCACATCCATCTCGATGTGTTCAGTTGTCTGGCTGTGCTGGCAACATAGCCTGCCCATCATCAAATTATCAGACTTGTGCTGATACACCCTCATTCAATGTATGCTTTTTCTCCACCCCTAGCTCTCTAAGCCCCTTATGCAACTGATAGCAGAGGTCTTTTGATCACTAAAGATAATACAAGATAAATAAACATTTAAAAATAAGAAAAGAAAAAAGTTATTAATAATGCATATATATATATATATATATATATATATATATATATATACACACACATATACACTCACTCACACATACACACACACACACACACACGCATACACACAAAAGTTGCTTTACAAAGTATGGGTTCACATACAGTTAGGTCCATATATATTTGGATACAGGCACAATTTTCATACTTTTGGCTCTGTATGCCATCTGAATAAATGAAAATTAAACCATCCAAATGAATTTGAAATGCAGACTTTCAGCTTTAATTCAAGGGGGTGAACATAAATGTCAAGTACAAATTTTAGGAACTGCAACCATTTTTATACACAGTTCCTCCATTTTCAGGGGATCAAATGTAATTGGACACATGAATATAATCATAAATAAAATGTTCATTTTAATGTTAATATTTTGTTGAGAATCCTTTATTGGCAATGACTGGCTAAAGTCTGGAACCCACGGACATTACCAAAGACTGGGTTTCCTCCTTTCTGATGCATTGCCAGGCTCTAACTGCAGCTGTCTTCAGTTGTTCTTTGTTTGTGGATCTTTCTGCTTTTAGTTATGCCTTCAGCAAGTGAAATGCATGCTCAATTGGGTTGAGATCAGGTGATGGACTTGGCCATTGCAGAATATTCCACTTCTTTTCCTTCAAAAGCTCCTGGGTTGCTTTTGCAGTGCGTCTTGGATCATTGCCCATCTGTACTGTGAAGTGCCGTCCAATCAACTTTGCTGCATTTGGCTGAATCTTGGCTGACAGTATATCTCTAAACACTGCAGAATTCATCCGGCTGCTTCTGTCTTCTGTCACATCATCAATAAACACCAATGACCCAGTGCCACTGGAAGGCATGCATGCCCATGCCATCACACTGCTTCCACCATGTTTTACAGATGACGTTGTGTACTTTGGATCATGATCTGTTCCAAGCCTTTCCCACACTTTTTTCTTCCCATCATTCTGGTACAGATTAATCTTAGTTTCATCCATTCAAAGAATGCTTTTCCAGAACTGGTCTGGCTTTTTTAGATGTTTTTTTGGGAAAGTCTAATCTGGCTTTTCTATTCTTCAGGCTTATGAATGGTTTGCACCTTGTGGTGAACCCTCTGTATTTGCTCTCGTGAAGTCTTCTCTTGATTGTAGACTGACGATGATATGCCCACCTCCTGGAGAGTGTCCTTCACTTGTCTGGAAGTTGTGAATGGGTTTTTCTTTACCATCCTGCGATCATCCACCACTGTTGTCTTCCGTGGACGTCCATGCCTTTTTATGTTGCTGAGCTCACCAGTGCATTCTTCTTTCCTCAGAATATACCAAACTGTTGATTTGGCCACTCCTAATGTTGCTGCTATCTCTCTGATGGATTTATTTAATTTTTGAAGCCCTTTGAACGCATGATGTAGGTTTACAGCAATAGATTCCAAATGCAAATACCACACTTAGAATCAACTCCAGACCTTTTACCTGCTTAACTGATGAAAAAATAATGAAGTCCACACCTGGACATGAAACAGCTTTTGATTCAATTGTCAAAACACTTTTGGTCCCTTGAAAAAGGGGGGATGGCTACTCGTAAGAGCTGTAATTCCTAAACCCTTCCTCCAATTTGGATGTACATATCCTCAAATTAAACCTGAGAGTGTACACTTTCAGCCCATATCCATTATATACTTATAGCTTGAATATGTTTTGGTAAACACGTGAAAAAAAAACTAAAATTGTGCCTGTGTCCAAATATATATGGACCTAACTGTATACTTTAAGTCCAGTAAATGTAGACAAAAGAAAATCAAAGATGGTGTATAGACCTGTTACAGTAATGTAAAATGTGAATAAATCTTGATGCAGTCATATTTCTTACCAAGGCTTGTCCTATTTTTGTTTGTAATGCAATTGTATATACTGTATTTGCAAGTAATTTTGACGTGAGTGGGTTATGCATGTAAGTTCACATGATGAAATATCAGCCTAAATATCCCATTTATCAGTGGAGGCAAATGGGGAAGTGCATCTTGGTTCCAGTTGAGTAATCAAGCAGGAAGCAAGTTAATTATAGATATTGATTTTTTTACAACAATCTTCCCCAACTAATAATTTATTCTCATACAGATACTGTATATGCAATGGAAGTCTGTACATTTTAGGGTCAGTCGAGTCTGTGGTGCACTTTTGTTTGTCAATTGGGTTTAAAAGTATTAATATCATTTGAAGATTTCCCTTGATTCCCCTCAGTGAATACAGGCAGTCCCCTGATTACGAACAAGATAGGGTCTGTAGGTTTGTTCTTAAAGCGGTAGTAAATCACAGCTAAAAATAAACAAATAAATAAATCCCCTGCAAGGTAAGATCATAATGTGCTGGTATGCATCACATACTAACACATTTTGAAGGGCTTACCCTAAAATGAAGCCCTCCAGCGGCGCACTGTTACCGCTGCATAGGTTTCCATCCTTACCTGGTCTTTCTCCTGGGTTCGCGAGCTCTGGCTATATGACTGGCTGAACCATTCCCAATGCAGGTATGGGAGTCCTGGGCCATGGCACAGTGCTCTGAAGGAACAGCACGCCCCAAAAAAATAGCTCCAGCCCAAAAAAAATATTTTTTACGCTTTTTGGATAGCATAGGGAAGGGTTAACACCCCTGTAATGTTTGTTTTCACCTCACTTTCTGTCCCTGTGACAATTGGATTTTTAAAATTTTGGGTTGTTGCGGAAACAAGGGATTGGTGATAAACCTTCAGCGTAGACACCTTTTTCCCATGATGATTCTTACAGGAGTGAATTTCCCTTTCTAGGGGTAGATTTCCTCTCACTTCTTGTATCTCCCTCCATTCGTACGTACGAGTCGTTCATAACTCGGAGACTGCCTGTAAATTAGTTCCATCTTTCACAGTAAAATCAAAACCTCATTCATTTCATAATAGTGAGCCAAATTTGATTTCCAAAAAAAAAAAAAAAAAATTAAAAAAGGCAACTGGGGACCAGTTTAATTATACCTAACAAGGTCAGTCTGGCAGTGTCAGTACATTTAACCCTTGCCAACAGACAGTCTAATTTAGAAAATGACAATGATCCATGGGATCCTAAATGTTATAAATGTAATGCATCAATTAACATAAATGTATATATTTAGTGAGCCTGTTTGAAGTTTATTACTGCAGTGTTGTCTTACCTTTTGATGTGACTTTCACTGAACTCCAGGAATTCAACCTTTCTAAAATGTGCCAGATTTCTATGGGTTACATCCAATGAGGTGCATGCCACCTCGAAAACTTCTCTTTAATTTACAATGTCCATTTTTACCAAGCGCTAGGTGTTCAGCTACTGCTATACTTTGGATGCTATGATGCTTGATCTTTGGGTCTCGGATCCTGCAGCAGCAGAGTCATGTGCAGCTGCACTACCCACCCCTCCTGACCAATCACAAAGCACTTTGTATTATGTAAACCCAATCACAAAATACAAAGCCTTCTGTGATCGGGCAGGGAGGGGAGGGGCGGAAAGAATGGTCAGAGTGCCAGAAAAATAAAGATAGCTGTACATCAGCACTCAGTAAAAGTGTCAGTTGTAAAAAAAAGAGATAAGTCTATGAGATGGTATGCAACTCGATGGATTTAACCTAAAGTAAGTGAACACATTTTAGTAAATTGTCTAAATTCTTAGTGTTCAGCTTTAAAGTCTAATTCAGGAAAACTTTAAAATTATCGCTTGCAGTGGGGCTGCACCCGCACTGCAACTGTTTTGTCTAGGGAAGAGGAGAGAAGAGCTTTTACTTACCTTATCCTCTGCTCTCTAACAGACGGCACTCCCCAGCACTCTGGCCGTGAACTGTCTGGAGTCATCACGTTCAATGGGGAGTTATGTATCTTGCATTGGTCTTGATGACATCAAAACCTTAGAGGAGTAGAGCCCCGCGGGGGGGGGGGGGGGGAGATGCTGTGGGGAGCGGTCGCGCACCACAGAGGACAGAGGAGTGGAGGATCAGGTAGGTAAATCTTTCCTGTGTCCCACAGACCTAGCCAAGCAATGAACTCTTGCAGTGCAGGCACGACCCCACTGCAAGGGATCAATTTAAAATTTCCCATAGCTGGGCTTTACCACTCCCGCTCTTCCATGTTATTGTTATTTCTAGATAAACCACCAGAGACAATGTAGATTACCAATCTCTGTTAAGATTAGATATCAAACACAGCAACAACACGTTTTCAGTCCTTTTTTTATGTGATATCCATACATATGGCAATTTTAAGCAACGTTTAACCAGCTTTTGATTGTTGATATGACTGAATGTGAAACAAAGAACAAAAGGTACTTAGCAGTAATGTATGCGATTGACCCACAGACTTCAATTTAACAGGTTGAAATAGACTTAAAACAAGGAAATAATTGTGATCAAAGAAAATTGATCATGGTAGAAAACAACTAGAATTTCTGCTGTATTTGATTTTGGTTTCTTCAACTTGATTGCTTTGCAGCAAGGTACATCAGACCTCAAGCCAAACAAAAGGTAGTATATTTAGTAATAAACAATGCACACTTTGAAGTAGCATGCCATCAAAAGTAACTATGTAAAATAACAGAACAGGCATGGCACAAACAATACTGTTTATTAAGACATACCATCCTTAACAATTCAAACTGCAGAACTATGGTTCCAGACTTGGCCGAGTTTGGAACTGGGTATCAAAGTGATCTATATTATGTAATTAAGGTTTTAGGATAAACCACTTTTTTTTTTAATTGAATCCTTTGACAGAAACAAAACACAGCACCAAAATCACAAAAGATAGTACATCCTCACAATTAACAGCACATGGTGCCCAAAGATTAAACCAAAGTACCCAGCAAGGCAGGGCTTCACAAATTTGCTTTGAATCTAGGAGCCAGCTAAAAAAGTTAGGAGCCAGGAGGGGGAGCAGCGTGACAGGTGGAGGGCAGCGGGGGCAGTGGGACAGGAGGAGGCAGGCAGCAGGACAAGAGGGGGGGCAGCAGGAAAGGAGGGGGAAAAGTTATGGGAGGGCAGCAGCGGGACAAGTGGGGGACAGAAAGAAAACCATTCTGTGCAGTGGTGGCGAGCAGTATGGTGACAAGCAGCGATCTCCTGTATGGCTTTCAATGAAGCAGCTGAAAGCTGCAGGAGGGAGAGGAGGAGATGCGACTTTCAGCTGCTTCATTGAAAGCCATACAGGAGATCAGTGCTTATCACCACAACCACCGCTACCCCTCCCACACACCCCTAGTCCCGGCACTGCTCGCCGCTCCCACCACTGCACAGAATGGTTTTCTTTCTGCCCCCCATCCCTCCCACTGCTGCTGTGTTCCAGCCGCTGTGTTCTTCTCAATGCCTAGCCCCTCCCCCCCAACCTTCCTTCCACACCACCTCCCTTCCATCTTTCCACCCCCCTGCCTTCCATCCTTCCAACCCCCTCCCTTCCTTCCACCTCCCCCCTCCCTTCCATCCCCCCCCCCTCCATTTCATCCTTCCACCCCCCCTTCCCTTACTTCCCCCACCCCTCACTTCCTTCCTTCTTTCCACCCACCCCTCTCTTCCTTTCACCCCCCCACCCCTCCCTTCCTCCCCTCCTTCCTTCCACCCACCCTTCTGTAGCACCAATCTTTCCTTCCTTCCTTCCCACCCACCCCCCCCCCCCCCCCCCCCCCCCCCCCCCCCCCCCCCCCCCCCCCCCCCCCCCTCCTCCTCCCTTCCTTCCACCCCCCCCCCCTTCCTTCCTTCCTTTCACCCCCCCTTCCTGCCTTTCACCCACCCCTTCCTTCCTTTTACCAACCCCTTCCTTCCTTTCCCCCCCCCCCCTTCAACTTCCTCACCCCCCCTTCCTTCCTTCCACCCACCCCTTCATTCCTTACACTCACCCCCCCCTTACTTCCTTCCACCCCCCCTTCTTTCCTTCCAACCACCCCTTCCTTACTTCCTTCCACCCACCCCACCCCCCTTCCTTCCTTCCATCCACCCCTTCCTTCCTTCCACTCACCCTTCTTTCCACCCACCCCATCGGGTTGATTACTAAAATTGGAGTGCAAAATCTGGTGCAGTTCTGCATAGAAACCAATTGTCTTCCATTTTTTTTTTCGTCAAAGCTTATTTGAACAAGCTGAAATTAGAAGCTGATTGGCTACCATGCACAGCTGCCCCAGATTTTGCACTCTCCAGTTTTAGTAAATCAATCTTTTTGTCTTCTGGTGCAGGGTACTAACTTTTAAATACCTTTAGAGGCCTGGCAGGATTTATTTATTGAACGTTAGGTACAACCAGCAATGGGGTTGATTTACTAAAGGATTAAAGAATTTTCACAAAGCTTTGTGAATAAAGTGAAGCAGTGTTTGCCTTGAATACCCAATCACTTTCAAGCAATATTAAAACACATGATTTGAGCCTGCATATAAGTGAAGTGAGCAGAGCTTCACCTTATTCACTAAGCTCAATGAACATTCATTTTGTTAATGAACAGTCTCAAATCCTTTAGTAAATAAGCCCCAATGTGGGTTTCCTGTAATGAAGTATTATCTACAGCCACTCTATATGTAGGAGGGAAGAATTGTATATTTCATTTTGTCCCATAAACCCCTGACACTTCAAACTATCAGCGTCATAATATATGGCATCTTAAACCTCCTGAAACACAAAATACATCATGTACCATATCACCCATTCATGAAATATTCATCAACTAAATGAGATTAAAGTCTGACTGCGTATATTGGAATAAAAGTTATTAAAATCATAAATATGCTATGACCACCTTTATTAAAGGTTCCCATGTGCCAACGTTTGTATTAAAGTGGACTTGCAATCAAATATCTTTTAAACACATACCTTTATGATAAGTGACATAAAACCTAGCAGTGTCAACAGTCGTATAACATTTACTTTCCCAGTCTTTGGACCTCAGCTAGAACAGAACATACTGACTAACCTTTCCATTTGTTGTCTTATTCAAATAATAGTCTCTTGATGGAAGGAAGAGTCCAGACTGGTCCACCTGGGGAAGAAAAGCAATGTGAAGTAAAAAAGCATTCTGGGAAATGTAACTGTAATAAAAATACATTGGATGCAAGTTCAGGTGCAAATTTGTAAATCGCATGTTGAACCTGAAGTCGCAGCAGTGTGAACCAGGACTAAAGGGCTTTGTCACAATCTGAGAATAATAATAATTGTTATTTGTCTGCTTTCCATCTATATATATCATTAGTCAGGTATAGTTGTTACCAGAACACAAATAGAAGGGGCATTTTCCAAAGGTGAAACTTGTCCCAAGGACAACTGTCTAAGAGTAGAATTCCCCTCTAGATTACCTCTCACTTCCTGTTGCATTTCTGGAACAGGAAATGGAGATAAATCTTTCCAAAGAGACACAGCTACAAATAAACTTACTTACTTGGAAAAATGTAAAAACTATAGTGAGCGCTCTCAATAATTAGCAGCTGAACATTCAAGGAAAACGCATAAAAGTCCCAAGAAATATATATATAAAAGTAAAATGCAGCGCTATTAATATATCATAAATGGTTAAATAGATAATGATAAGACACAGTCCAGTGAAAGGTGCTCGTTGATTCCCGGTGCAAATGGTAAAAAATGCGCACTAACCAGAAGCGTATAGGTCAGTGGTGGGCAACCTTTTTTTTCAACTGAGCCAAATCTCGCCAAAACCACGATTGAAATTTATTTTGAGAGCCACATTTTTAAAACTGAAAATACATCCCCCATATAGTAATTCATCCCCCATAGTAATTCATCCCCCATATAGTAATTCATCCCCCATAGTAATTCATCCCCCATATAGTAATTCATCCCCCATATAGTAATTCATCCCCCATATAGTAATTCATCCCCCATAGTAATTCATCCCCCATATAGTAATTCATCCCCCATATAGTAATTCATCCCCCATAGTAATTCATCCCCCATATAGTAATTCATCCCCCATAGTAATTCATCCCCCATATAGTAATTAATCCCCCATATAGTAATTCATCCCCCATATAGTAATTCATCCCCCATAGTAATTAATCCCCCATAGTAATTCATACCCCATATAGTAATTCATCCCCCATAGTAATTCATCCCCCATATAGTAATTCATCCCCCCTATAGTAATTCATTCCCCATATTGTGTCAATTCACTTACCTTTGCTCCGCGCGTTCCTCTCGCCGTGTTCCCGCGCCGTTCCGGTCTTCAGGGCGGACTGTGAGAGGAGAGGAGTTCGTCTTGCTGCCCCCGCCTACATCCTGACAGCCAATGTTTGCCACGCTCCGCAGGCCGGATTAAAAGGTCCGCCGGGCCGTATGCGGGCCTTAGTTTGCCCATTGCTGGGCTAGCTGCAGAGTCCTGACTTTTGGGCGGCCGCCCGAGAGGAGGGAGGGGAGCGGGCGCCCGGCACACAAAAGAGCCGCATTAAACTGTGTAAAGAGCCGCATGTGGCTCGCGAGCCGCGGCTTGCCGACCACTGGTATAGGTAATACGCATGTGAATAAATATCTTGAAGATTCCCCTCTCCTTTCTGGTCTGATCACAGGAATAGCTGGAAAGAATGAAGATCAAGCGCCCTCGTGTGGTGAAGATGTGGTCCAGCTGGTCAGAGAAATCTTTGCCAAGATGTAGTTCCCCCCTCTCTCAGGAGCTGACACAGGAATCACTCAGGGCTTCATGCCTCCATGAAGAGGTTTGTGAGATTTTGAGCCAAATGCAAAGAGTCATTTTTTTTTGTTTGCATCTTCTTCAACCTTTACAGCCCTGAGTGATTCCTGTGTCAGCTCCTGAGAGGGGGAACTACATCTTGGCAGATTTCTCTGACCAGCTGGACCACATTTTCACCACACGACGAGGGCGCTTGATCTTCATTCTTTCCAGCTATTCCCGTGATCAGACCAGAAAGGAGAGGGGACTCTTCAGGATATTTATTCACATGCGTATTACCTATACGCTTCTGGTTAGTGCGCATTTCCACCATTTGCACCGGGAATCAACGAGCACCTTTCACTGGACTGTGTCTTATAATTATCTATTTAACCATTTATGATATATTAATAGCGCTGCATTTTACTTTTATATATAAACTTACTTACTTAGATCAATTCTAACTATTCCCTGCTCTATCCAAACCTATAAAGAAGTTTAGCTACACGTACAAAAGCAACTCTTTTCTTTACCAATGCTTACAGAAAACCGTTACTAAATAATGCAAAATCAGTAAATACAAATCCTGTTTGAAGTAAACCCGTAGCTAACTATTTAAATTCACGTATTAACAAATTGCTAACAAGCAGGAAATGAGTTTTAAACACCAAATGTCCACTGTAGATTGCTTTATGGGTGTTAGGGGAGGTGCTACTGGAGGTGTTAATAACTTGGGTGCAAGGATAGGAGGCAGTAAATCCATGACTCAGGCGCCTGTTTTTTTTAACTGCCCTCAGCTGCCCATGAAAGAGCCCAAAAGGCTGCCAAATCACAGTTGTGAACTGGGGAATGGGTAATTGGGAAATACAATCTTCCAAAATGGGAGGTTTTTATCCATCCTAATCCTAAATAATAAAAAAAACAACAATTTTGAAAAAAAAAATACAATATTTTTGACTTTTTGCTATAAAAACATATCCAATAAAAAATGTAAAAAAAAATCAAATTTCTTCATTAATGTAGGCCAAAATATATTCTGCCACATGCCTTTGCTAAGCAAAATCCCAATATGTGTAAATGAATTGGTTTACAATTGTGTCTACAAATGGCGGTAAATATACTGGAATTTTTTTTTTTTGTACTAGTAATGGCTGTGATCAGTGACTTATAGTGGGACTGCCACGGGCATTCTGACACTGGGGGGGAACTGACTAACTACCAATGACATCCCCAGTGCCACTAATACAATGATCAATGCTAATAAAAAGCACTGACACTGTACTGACACTGGGCAGGAAGGGGTTAACATGTGGGGCGATCAAAGGGTTAACTGTGTGCTGTGTGTGTTTTACATTATTGTGCCGTGTGTGTTTTACTACAGAGACATGCTGCTTTGTATTTCTCTGCTGGACCGCACGCCACCTACCCGGAAAATGCTCTTATCTATGTATCAAATTACAGTTTAGCGGGCTGCAGGTTCTTTCTCTATTTCATTGTCAGTTGGCTATGTCTGCTATTTACTGTTAGGATTGTGTGTTTCATTGAATACAGAAGACCTTTTATCACAGCTATTCTAAAATGTGAATGAAGATATTTACTACATTTATACAAACTTTAGGTCTCCTACACATCAGCACTGTTTTAATCAATGTGTTTAATTAGGGACTGTTTTGTTGCTAAAAAGCAACCAGCCAGATTTATTTCAGCAAAAGAAAATGTCACTCTTAAAGTGTTAGTAAACCACACGACCCTGTATTCACTCTATCTGGTCTCCCACAGTACAGAGAACATGGAAGTGCAATTCATTTAGTAAATATAAACTGGTTAAATACAATTTCTCATCAGCAGTTAGAGCAATCTTGTGACTTCTATCAGTGTCCAGCAGAGCACATGTTAAAGCATGTAGGAGGAGTTTTAATTTTGCTCTAGGAGGATGCAAAATCCCTGACCTCTGTCTGGACAGTGCTGATCGGCCCTGTGCTGATCACTTGCATTCTCTCAAGAATGAAAAAAAAAAAAACACTCCCTAGCAATATGCACTAAACTGAGCATGTGTAGAGTGACTCCGCACGATATGTCTTATCAGGAGATAAGAGGGGGACAGTGGAAGAAGGGGAAGATCAGAGAAGTCAGGATCAAACAGTGTTTTTACACACAATGCAGAGGATTAACCCTTTAGGTTCCACAGTGAGTATAACAAGCATGCTTTACTGCATATACAGAATGATTTTACTGTTATGGGTTTAGTAACACTTTCATTTTATTGCTAACAGCAAGTAACAAATATGGTTCTCTATCACATATATGTTTGTCTCTTTTCTACAGCATTAAGATCCACAACATGACATGCATTTATGAATGGTATGTAAAATACAGGAGCAGTGAGGACTAAACACTGCAGTCAGTGTCTTTTGGAGAATGGATAACAGTATGTGTTTTGCATTATAAATAGCCAGCTATGTAATTCAGCTATGTCTATGTGCCAGAAACATGCCTCCACTTGATGTATTTATATTGTTCTATTATATATTGTATATATTTACTGTCTAGTCTAATGTTGATACCTGGATAATGTTGCTATTTGAGCTCTTGGAGTCCGCGCTTACAAAGACACTGAAAGAATGGTGTCGCCCTGTACGTCCCTGAGACAGTCTTTTAGCACAGCCATAAAGTTATCTCCTCTACAGGTACCTGAGATATTCCATCCACCAACCTTAACAGAAACATTAGTTATTGTTACCAGCACAATTATGACAATGGTCTAGAGCAGTGGTCTCCAATCTGCGGCCCTTTGCCTGCCTTTACCCAGCACTTGGGGCACACTATTCCTCCCACTTATACGAGACACTGTTCTGCCAACTGACACCAACAATGGGGCACCATTTCTCCCCCTGGTCACAATAATGGGGCACACTGTTCCTCCCAATGAGTTCCTCCCAATGATAGGGTTCTGCTCCTCCCCCAATACCAAATGTGGTAATGTTTACTCCCACTGATGCCAGGAACATTTCCACTCCAGCTGGCCACAGTCTGCCCCCCCCCTAAAGATTAAAAAACTATAAACTCGCCCTTTGTTTAGAAAGTTTGGAGACCCCTGGTCTAGAGAAGTACTGGAATGCAAAACAAGGAATTTGGGGTATCAGGATATAATGCAAAAACAAGTTGGATAACACTGTCAATGATATCAACTAAAGATACATATTATATACCAAAAATATTCAAATTTATGTAAAGCCAATTCTTTCTTGTTAGCTTTAGATAGAGTAGGGAATGATAAAGACCTAATCAGGTTTTTATTTTTATTTTTTTTGCTTTGTGTCCACTCGGGGAGATTTCTCTTCACATCCTGTCCTATTAGAGGAGATCTCCTCAAAGCCATGAGATAATGCCTCTTGGACACTTGCCACCAGAGGTGGTTTAGCTAAATAAAAATTTCCCCTCACCTCCAGCTCCTGTGGATTTTTCCATCACTACTTGTCCCTATGAGAATAGTCACCAGGATTAACAGAGAGGGTCCAAGATGGGACACCAGTTGGGACACAGACGGCAAAATAACCCTTCTATACTCTATCTCGAACAGAAAAAAAGTATTGGCTTTACATACAATTTATCAAAACCTTGTCATAAACGTAAAGAAATTCAGGTAAAAGCACACATAAACACTGACTTTAATATCTCTCCCAAACATCATTACAGTGGTATGATCATGAAGAGATTTGATAACTTTAGGATATCAAATTTGCAGTTATCAGTTCATTCTCTTTCACTTCATACTGTAATGGTTTTCAACAAAATATACATTGTAAAGTGGCAATTTTGTCACATTAGTATTGTTTGAAACCAACATGGTATAAAGTAAGATTCCTGTTTAATTGCCAGCTGCATATTTTCTTATCACAAGTTGTTAATACATCAGTTTTCCAAAGTTGGGCATGTGTCTCCCTGACAATGATGGGCAAGGGGATATAAGGCCATCCTTGCACAAACCTGCAGAGTTCTGCAATCCATGTCATTTTCTCCAGTTTCTATGCCAAGGAGTTTTGCGGATATGCTGTCTTCTTCACGTCAGAGCAATATTGCAATACAAATTCTTTAACCACTTGCCATCCAGAAAATTTACCCCCCTTCCTGACCAGGCCATTTTTTGCAGTACAGTGCTGCGTTAATTTAACTAACAATTGCGTGGTCACGCAACGCTTTACATAAATTAAATTTATGTAATTTTTTCCCACAAATAGAGCTTTCTTTCAGTGGTATTTGATCGCCTGTGCGTTTTTTTATTTTTTGCGCTATAAACAAAAAAAACCATCAATTTTGAAAGAAAAAAAATGTTTTTGACTTTTTGCTATATAACATATCCAATAAAAACATCTTAAAAAATCAAATGTCATCATAAATTTAATCCACGCCAGTGGCTGAGCATCGGGTTCCCTTCAGCTCCATCCACCGTGCAGTGGAGACCCTCAGTAGGGATTTTATAATCGATGAGCCTTCCAGTCCCTTATACCATGTGAGTTGTTCTACTTGTGAATGCAATAAACCATGTAACAGTTCACACTTAGAGGTGCCTTTCTTGTTCCTTTTGCAATTAAATGTTTCCAATATGTATGAATAACATGATTAATTTGCATTGTGTGAGTCCAACTGCTTTTGGAAAAGTCTTCTAAACGCAGCTAAACTCTGAAATTTAGACATCTGTGTGAATGTAGCCTTAAATGTATAAAACAAGACACTGAATATGGTGCAGCGCTTCATATTGTATTTTACAAACAAAGCTATGGACTTTGGAGGGATGGGGGTCATTAAAGTAGATGTACAGTAAACATCACTAAAATCTCATAACTTTAAGTAACAAGTTAAAGTATAACTAAAGGCAAAACTTTTATTTGTTTTGGACAGGCTTTATACTTGGTGATCCTGTCATTATTAAAGCGATACTAAAGGTTTGCTTTTTTTTTTTTTTTTTGGAAAACAACCAACATGTTATACTTACCTACTGTGTGCAGAGATTTTGCACGGAGCAGCCTGGATCCTCCTCTTCTAGGGTCCATTTCCGGCGCTCCTGGCTCCTCCTTTCTGTCGGGTGCCCCCATAGCTAGCAGCTAGTTATGGGAGCACCCAAGTAAATGTGTTCCCAAGCCGCTGCTCTGTGTGTTCATTCACACATGGAGCCACAGCTTGGCCCTGCCCCCTCTCCCCTCATTGGCTGGCTGGCTGTGATTGACAGCAGCGAGAGCCAATGGCTCCCGCTTGCTGTCTCAGCCAATGAGGAGGCAGAGCTTCAGAACAGCCGAGGCTGCTGTGCACTTCGATGGATCGCGATGGGGCTCAGGTAAGTATAACATGTTTGTTATTTTCCAAAAAAAAAAGTGAACCTATCATGTTGCTTTAATACTTGGTGATCCTGCTAATGCACTTCCTGTTATAGGAGTGACAGGGTCTTCCAAATGTTCTCCCATTACATGCACTCCCAGTAGACTCTACAAGTGGTTGTAATGGTCTACACATCCCAGACATAATTCACTATTTGGAAATCCACTATTAGAATGCATATGAAGTTGCTGGAATCTATGCATGTAGACAGTGGCAGGCTGCAGAAGATTAGCCGTGGTTATACAGAACACCATTATTTTAATTTTTAGCAAATTTAATATCACTCAGTTATGATTTTGATCTATTTTAACAAGGGGTTATTAGCACTTTCACCTTCTTTATCAGGTCAGTGAGGGGTTTTTCTTTCAGCTCCTCAATTTTCTGCTCCTTCAGGCAAGACAGGTAAAACCGCTGAGTCTTCATCTCTGCCTCACTACTGGAGTTAAATGTAGCATTCTCTGCAACATATAACATTGTATGTCAGCCACAGTGAAAAATATATAATAAACATTTGTATGCCTATGGCAGTACCCACCCATCTGTACTATCTCCCATGCCGTGTATGAATGCTAATTCACCCCGCACTGCTATATGGTAATCTATACTGCTTTTAAAATCCACCTCTGACTGAAGCTGATTCATAACTATCAATGTTCTTATTGGTCATTTTTACTGCTTCAAAAATCTTTTGCTCTGTCCATATTACTGTGGTGTTTATTTTGCTCTTATTGTCTAACCCAAATTTAAGAGCTGATCCTAATCTTTACAACTCTGCCCTCTGCTCTCTTAGGCTACGTTCACACTAGCGTTGTGTGCATGCGGCAGAGAGGTGTTTGGGAAGCGTTTTTATCGCTTCCCAAACGCCTCTGCCAATTCTGCACATTACAGCACATGGTGCTGTTCTAACGGGAGCATTTGCGTTGCATCACGGCAAAACGGACACCTCTGGTCGAGTCAGGAGGCGTTGAAGCCTCCTATTCTCGTCTATGGTGCCACTCCACAAACGGCGTTTGTGGTGCGGTTGCAACGCGGTTGCGGGGCGTTTGTGGAGTGGTGGGTAACACCACTCAAACCGCATCATAGGCGTTTGTGGGGTGTTATTAACGCTCGGCAAACGCCTAGCAACCGCCGCTAAACAGCGCAAGCGGCGTTTGCGGAGCATTTGCCGAGCGTTAAAAAACGCTCTGCAAATGCCGGACCAACGCTTGCCAAACGCTATAGGGGCGTTTGGCAAGCTTTTTTTAAACAGCCAAGTGTGAACGAGATGGTGTGAGATGTTTGCCCTGCTAGCCATGTGTCTCTGCTATGCATTCCTAATTGATTAATTGACAATTCCCCCACCCAACTCAGTAGAAATTTAGGCCTTCCTTAGGGGAGGCACAGCCAGGGGCAGCATTGGCAACTATCATCATGGATAAAGTGTTGATCTTGAATTAAGTGTTGCACTGTGGCTCTGCACTTCAGCAAATGCACAAAGCGAGAAACAGCAGACAACTTCAATTACTAATCAGACTACAGGTGACCTGTTTCCCCATCCAGCTTTTTTAGCTCTTATCCAGTCTGCTTCATCTCCACTCTGTAACATGCACTCCCTACTCCTCCTTCTCACAGTTGTGTCCTCTCTCTTTAAAGTCATACTCCCATATTACCTCCCTCATACCTGCATTCCTAACATCAACCTTGTATTCTCCTACTTATGCACTCCTTGCAATCTCACCAACTTTCCTCTTCCTCTCTCTGATCACTCCCTTATTAGCTTCACTCTGTCCTTGTCTTCCTCCTCCTTGTCTTCCAACTACCAAACAGTTAACCATAGAAACCTTCATTATCTTAACCCTTCTCTTCTTTTTTCAGCAACAGATTGTCTCTATGACAAAATCTCAGCCCTGTCCTGCCCCAGCCTGGCCACTTCTGTCTACAATAGTTCACTGTCTTCCACCCTGGACACATTGCCCCCCTCACTACACACAGAATTAGGCCCCGACCACTACAACCCTGGCAAACAGACAATACCAGATGCCTCAAAAAACGTAGCTGTGCTCTTGAGTGTTTATGGCATAAGGCTAAGACCCAGCAAGATTTCGACCAATATAAATCTGCCCTTCAAAAATAAAATTCTTGTCTCCACACTACCAAACAGACCTATTTTATCACTCTCATTAACACCCTCTCACGCTGTCCATGTCAACTCTTTTTTACCTTTAACTCTCTACTTCGTCCTTCTCTACCTCCACCCACTAACTCACTCACTGTCCAGATCGCTAATCACTTCAAAAATAAGATTGATACAATTCGTGATGAGATCCCCACTGTACAGATATCTCCCTCACCCTACAATCCTTGTCCATCTGCACAATCTATACTTCCCTTATTTAACGCAGTTACTATAGAGGAGGTTGGTAAACTGTTTTCTAAAGCCCATATAACCACCTGCCCCCTGGACCCTGTTCCCACGCAAATACTACGATCACCCTCTGGCTCTATCCTTCATTCTTTAACTCATATCTTCAATCTCTCCCTTTCTACTGGCATCTTCCCCAACTCTCTAAAACATGTACTAGTCACCCACATAGTTAAAAAAGCCTCACTGGACCCCGCCAATCTTAGCAACCTAAGACCCATCTCCTTACTCCCATTTGCCTACAAACTCCTTGAGTCTACAACCGCCTGAGCTGCCACTTTATTGAAAATAAGCTTCTCAGTCCCCTTCAGTCTGGATTTCACCCACAACACTCCACCGAAACTCCTCTCCTAAAACTCACAAACAACTTACTAACCGCTAAAACCAATGGTCACTATTCCATACTCTTGGACTTGGACCTCTCCGCTGCCTTTGACACAGTTGACCACCTCCTCCTCAAAAAAAAACCCTTTATTTACTTGTCTCCGTGACTATACTCTCCGTTGGTTTGAATCTTACTTATCTCACCGCACCTTCAGTGTCACTTACAATTCTACTTCCTCCTCTCCTATTCCTCTTACTGTCGGGGTCCCCCAAGGTTCTGTCCTTGGACCTCTCCTATTCTTAATCTAAACTTCTTCCTTGCGTCAGCTGATAGCTTCCCATGGTTTTCAATACCATTTCTATGCTGATGACACAAATTTATCTCTCTACTCCTCAGCTCACCCCATCAGTTTCCACACATATCACCGATTTACTAACAGACATATCAGACTGGATGTCACATCACTTCCAAAAACTCACTCTATCCAAAACTGAGCTCATAATATTTCCTCCCCCATATGCCTCTTCCCCTGATTTCTCAGTCAGGATCAATAGCACCACTATCAACCCATCCCTGCATGTCAGGGTGCTAGGTGTAAGCCTGGATTCTAAACTATCCTTTCAGGCCCATATCAAATCCCTGTCCAAATCATGCCGCCTCAACCTCCGCAACATCTCCAGAATATGCCCCTTTTTAACCAATGATACCACAAAGCTCCTAATTCACTCCCTGGTCATCTCTCACCTCGACTACTGCAACTCCCTCCTTATTGGCTTACCTTTACATAGGCTATCCCCCCTCCAATCCATCATGAATACTGCTGCCAGGCTCATCCACCTTACCAACCGTTCAGTGTCTGCTACCCCTCTCTGCCAATCCCTCCACTGGCTTCCACTCGCTCAACGAATAAAATTCAAAATACTAACAACAACTTAGAAAGCCATCCACAACTTTGCCCCCAGCTCCATCACCAACCTGGTCTCAAAATATCAACCAAACCGCTCTCTTTGATCCTCCCAAGACCTTCTGCTCTCTGGTTCCTGTGTCACCTCCTCCCATGCTCACCTGCAGGACTTCTCCCATTCTATGGAACTCCCTACCCCAATCTGTCCGGCTGTCTCCTAATTTATCCACCTTTAGACGATTCCTGAAAACCTCTCTCTTTAAAGAAGTCTATCCTGCTTCTACCTAGTAAACTGCCATTTATTACCTCCATCAGCTCATCCCCCACAGCTATTACCTTTTGTATCACTCAACCCTTCCTCCTAGATTGTAAGCTGTAACAAGCAGGGCTCTCTGTTTCCTCTTTTACCAAATTGTATTGTAACTGTAATGTCTACTTTCATTTTGCAAAGCTCTGCCCAAACTGTTGGCGCTATATAAATCCTGTATAATAATAATAATGCGCAGACATCCAACCAAATCACACACATTTCAGTTAAGACTAGGCCACTTCAGCTGCTGATACCTAGAACCATGGAGTTTTCGAAAGCAGGTGCAAATATGCATTTGTAAACATTTCGTTTTGATTAACTTATTATTTTATCACCTTTTAGTTCCCTGCCCCTCACGTACCCTTACCTTCTACCATTATCCTACTCACCAAGAATATGTTTTAACACCGCTTGGTTCTGGTCCCAGATGCTGTTGAAGGTGTTCCATCTTGACCGACCATCAGGTAGAGGGTTCCTCTTCATCCACCCTCCACAAGCATACAGGTAGAAGTCCTGACATGGTTCTATGTCTCTGTCCAGGGAATCGAGTATACGGCCAGCTACAGAAACACAGGCCTCTGAGAGACACAAGGAGCGAGTCTTGTCTAGGTGGAAGAAGATACAACAGCAGCGCAGGGATGAGATGAATAAAAGCATCTACTGAGGTAGAAAATTAATCAAGTGTATGTCATAAACACTGTTTTGGACTTTTTTTTTTCCAATGGGATCTTGTACGGAAATGTATGTAAAGGAAGGAGCTATAAAAAAGGGCTAATTTTTATTGTCACGATTTTATTAAATTAGAACTATAGGCAGAACTTCTCTTTCATTTTGGATAGAGTAAGGGAGGGTTATAACCAGGGCTTTTCTCAGAGAATAGCTGCAGGAGCTCCCTTCCCTTCTGCGGAGGAGCACACCGCGTTATAGGGTGGGTGTGGCCAAATTGCAAAGTAGGAGTAAAGGGGCATTGTTAAATAAAACCAGGAGTGCATAATACACAGAGTGCATAATGCACAGCGAGCAGGGTTCTGGAGTGAATAATACACAGTGCATAATACACAGAGTGCTGGGTTCAGCAGTGCGTGGTACAAAGAGTGCAGGGCTCAGGAGGGTGTTCGGCACAGTGCTAGGTTCTGGACTGCATAATATACAGAATGCTGGGTTCAGGAGTGCATAATGCACAGAGTGCTGGGTTCAGGAGTGCATAATACACAGAGTGCTGGGTTCTGGAGTGCGTAATATACAGAGTGCTGGGGGGTTCAGGAGTGAGTAATACACAGAGTGCTGGGTTCTGAAGTGCATAATGCACAGAGTGCTGGGTTCAGGAGTGCATAATGCACAGACTGCTGGGTTCTGGAGTGCGTAATATACATAGTGCTGGGGGTTCAGGAGTGAGTAATACACAGAGTGCTGGGTTCTGGAGTGCATAATACACAGAGTGCTGGGTTTACAGAGTGCTGGTTTCTGGAGTGCGTAATACACAGAGTGCTGGGTCCAGGAGTGCGTAATACACAGAGTTCTGGGTTCAGGAGTGCGTAAAACAGAATGCTGGGTTCAGGACCATGTAATACAGAGTGCTGGGTTCAGGTCTGAGTATTACAGAGTGCTGGGTGCAGGACTGCATAATACAGAGTGCTGGGTTCAGGACTGCATAATACAGAGTGCTGGGTTCAGGACTGCGTAATACAGAGTGCTGGGTTCAGGACTGCATAATACAGAGTGCTGGGTTCAGGAGTGCATAATACACAGAGTGCTGGGTTCAGGAGTATGTAATACACAGAGTGCTGGGTTCAGGAGTATGTAATACACAGAGTGCTGGGTTCAGGAGTATGTAATACACAGAGTGCTGGGTTCAGGAGTGCGTAATACACAGAGTGCTGGGTTCAGGAGTGCGTAATACACAGAGTGCTGGGTTCAGGAGTATGTAATACACAGAGTGCTGGGTTCAGGAGTATGTAATACACAGAGTGCTGGGTTTAGGAGTGCGTAATACACAGAGTACTGGGTTCAGGAGTGTGTAACACAGAGAGTGCAGTCAGGTGTGCACTATGTCCAGAGTGCTGGATTCAGGGGTTTGCTAAGCAGAGAGACCACTTCTGCTCCTCATCCACAGCTCACCTCTGCACCCTTCCCTCACAGCTCCTCTCTGCAACCATCTCCGAACCCTTCCTCCACAACATCTGAGCTCTGCGAGCATCTGCTTCATATTTGACCCCTGCTCCCCCACTGCCCTCACCTTTGCACATTCAGCAACCCACCCCCCACTCACCTCTCAGAAGCCATGGGTGTGCCACACAATCCATTTGCAGCTTTGCCTCTCCACCACTGGACAGCAGTAGCGGCAGTGAGATTACTCAGGGGCAGGGGCATCGGCATCTGAGCACCAGGCTGTTTCTCAACCAGCAAGGGATGCCATTTCTGAAGTCCGGAAACACAGTGAGTTCCGGCAGCTGTCCCTCTATGTCTGCCCTGAGTGCCATGCAGTGCCGGAGTCCCGTTCTGGGGAGCTGCCGGGAGAACCACACTGTCTCTTGTAGCACAGAAGCTGGGTGTGTTCTTCTGTGTTTACAAGCGCCAGTAAACAGCGGTGACAGTGGTGAAGAGGGTGATTGCCGGAGGTGCAAGCTGAGAAAATACCCTGGTTATAACCCTGTCAGTTTGGTTTTTGCCATCTATGTTGCATTGGGGAGATTTCCCTTCATTTTAGTCAAGTCATTTTAACATATATTTTTACATATATTTGTAAATGCCAATTCCAAAAATGTAGATTTGTATTTTTAAAGACATACAGTATATTTGAAATGTATTTTTAAAAAATATTTTTCATATATTTTGTAATAAAAACACATTTCAACTATATATATATATATATATATATATATATATATATATATATATATATGTATATATATATTTATATATATAATTGAATATTGCCAACATTTTAGTATTTCAAATATATGTCAATATATTTGGGAAGAATATTTTTAAAATATATTTTTCTTCCATGTGGGCAGCTTTTTTTTTCTAGTTTTGAATTTTTTTCATCTTCATTAAGGCTCCATGCACACTAGCGTTTTTTTTTTTAAGCTCAAAAACCGCTGGAAAAAAATGCTGGATAAAAAACGCTGGTAATAGCCTTTTTAGCAGCGTTTTAGTAGCATTCAGAAACGTTTAGGAGCTTTAGCATTTTATTAGTGTTTTTACAGTATAGGAAAAAATAAAACGGTTAGAAAAAAAACTGTTAGGAGCACTTTAGTAGCGTTTAGAAGTGTTTAGGATCTTTTTTTCTGCTCCTAGACACTGAAGCTCAAAAAAATGCTAATAGCCTAAAGTAGTGTGCATGGACACATAGAATAACACTATTTAGCTTCTAGGAGCAGAAAAAAAGGATAATAACAGCTTCTAGGAGCTTCCAAAAACGCTAGTGTTCATGGAGCTATATTGTAAAACTGCTACTAAAACACTAACGCTCCTAAACGCTTGTAAATGCTACTAAAACACTACTAAAAAGTTCTATTAGCAGCGTTTTTTTAACCTGCATTTTTTCCAGTATTTTTTGAAAAAAACTTGTGTGCATGAGACATAGGCAGGCCATACAGTATACAATTTTGCTGAGATTTTTCCTTTAGATTTACTAAAAACCATAAAAACCATATAATATGAGGTTAAACCTAAACAACACTTTCAATTGTATTTAATTAGCAGGTCCTTGCACTACATAGTGGAATATAAATCTAAAGGAAATTGGGCAGAAAATTGTATAGTGTATGGCCAGCCATAAGGTGTCACATATAAAACTGTGAAATTCAACATCTAGAGAAAAGAACAGAGATTGGTCATGCACTGCAGCTTCTCCATTGAATTGATCTGATTGTTACTAATGATAGCAACAGTCACAAAGGTGATTTATCTTGCTTCAACATTCCTGTAACTGAGACTTCAGTCATTTACCTCCCTCAGGTGATGGCCCTATGAGTTTCAGTGTCAGTTTTAAATGTTGTCTCTACCTTTAGTGTGGAGATCCTCCAGAGAGGAAACAAAAGGCAATCAAAACCTCAAAAATATTCTGACCCTTCCTACAAAAACAATACTGCAATGTCACTATCAGGACAACTTCCTCTACTGCCTATTAAATAGGTAATAGACCTATTTACACCTCTCTTAGGGCTTGTTTTTCCAACTCTTGCCAAACGCCCCTATAGCGTTTGACAAGCGTTGGTCCGGCGTTTGCGGAGTGTTTTTAACGCGTTTGCCAAGCGTTAAAAACACCCCACAAACGCCTATAATGAAGTTTGAATGGTGTTAATGCTCCGCAAACACCCCTGCAACCGCGTCGCAACCGCACCGCAAACGTCGGCTGAGTATTTGCGGAGCGGCACCATAGACTTGAATAGGAGGATTCAACTCCTCCTGACTGGACCAGAGGTGTCCATTTTTCTGCGACGCTAACGCTCACGTTTGAACAGCACCATGTGCAGAATTTTCCCAGGCGTTTGGGAAACGGTAAAAACGCTTCCCAAACGCCTGTCTGCCGCTTGCTAACAAGGCTAGTGTGAATGTAGCCTTAAATAGGCAGGAAACTAGCGGAAATTTACCAATCAGTAACGCAAACAGTACCTGATGGAGATTGTAACCCTTCTCCACCCATCCAAAATGTAAAACGTTTGGACAACTTTTGGTGTGGATGACTGAAGTGCAGCTTTTACAGGAGTAGTTAACACTGTCATATAGTTGCACCCGCCTGTAACATTTGTAACGTGTTTGTGACATGTCTGATTTAAAAACTTGTGATATTCATATGGGGGATGTTCAGTGATTCTAATGAGAATGAGCATATTTTACAATCTGTCAGTTTAAGAATTGGTGGCATACTCCACCATCCACACCTAAAATATAAATTGACTGCATGTACCCTCCTATTCCCCTAGTGCAGGTACACAGCTGTACACTTTGCAAAAACATTTTTCAGATAAAGTGGTCAATTTACTAAAAATGTGTTCTTTACTTCTGTCTTTGTGGTTTTACAATTGATACCAGGACAACATTCAGGAATGGGCGTAATAATTATGAATCTGAAGCACCTGAGACTTGCTGAACTCCCAAAGCAATAAGGCATCCAAGGAGTAGCAATCCTAGAACAGCACTAAGGGCTCCTAGAAAAACTTCTGGCTGAGATCTACCACCAAGTGAGCCAAGGATGTGTCCTCTTCCTTTCCGAAATCCAACCTATTCAAAATAAACACATGATGAGAAAAGCAGGGTAAAGGAAGACAGCTGTAAGTGAACATGGAAAGTTAATAGACTCATTTAATGAGAGCAAATAACACAGAGCAGTGAGCATTCATTTTTGTGATTGTACTTGATGAATGGTCACAACTGATTGACATCTGTGCTCTTTTTAATCTAGAGGGCTGATGTGTGAAAAGTTTGCTACAGGAAAAATGTCTAAACTACCACTCAACTTTAGTCCAAGTTTGAAAATGAAACAAGGATTCTTATCCTGGGGGGGGGGGTGTCAGTAAAATCTGACCATAGAAGCATAGGCACGCCGTGAGTATGCACAGCATCCTGTAACTCCCAATTAGAAAACAGAGACCCAAGGTGACCACACTAGGACAGATCTGTTTCCATCCTTAGGGCTCATGTACACAGGGCATTTGCAAAACTCTTCTGAACGATGGAAACTGACTGCTGGAAAACGTAGGTTAAAAAACGTCAGTTATACGCATTTATTTGCATTTGCGTTTAGAAGCGTTTTTAAAAGATAACCGCAGGAGACCTTTCCAAATGCCCAGAATGCACTGAAAAATAGTAAATTATTAACTATTTCAGACATTTTGAGAGGAATAGAGAGAGCAGAAGCAGAGAGAGCAGTATGTGTTGAGATGACCTGCCTTTTCTGGTTGTATTCACTATGGATCCCATCATGAACATAATGCAGCACGTTCTACCATTTTTTTCTTCATGCAAAACCTGGAACTGACTGCTGCACTGGTGTGCTAGGTCCATTTGAATACATGGAAAACGCTTTGCACGCATTTCTGAAGACGAAAAATGGCTCTGGACAGCATCTGGACATGGAACAGTTAAAAAACTATTCTAAACGCAAACGCTTATAAACGCAGTTAACCGCGTTTACAAACGTTTGGCATTTGAAATGCCAGTAAAATCTACTCCTGAACGCAAGTTTGGTGCATTCAAAAAAATTACTGTAGACTCAACTGCCTGTAAATGACTATGTGTACATGGACACATAGGAACACATTAGGGGGAGTTTAGGGGCTGCTGAAAAAACGCAGAACAGCTCCTGAACATCAGTTTAGGAGCTGCAGTGTACAGTGGGGATCGAAAGTTTGGGCACCCCAGCTAAAAATTTGTATTGATGTGCATAAAGAAGCCAAGGAAAGATGGCAAAATCTCCAAAAGGCATCAAATTACAGATTAGACATTCTTATAATATGTCAACAAAAGTTAGATTTTATTTCCATCATTTACACTTTCAAAATAACAGAAAACAAAAAAATGGCGTCTGCAAAAGTTTGGGCACCCTTTACCCTTTGGGCTGAATTTATAGCATGCACTGCCCCCTTTGCAAAGCTGAGACCTGCCAGTGTCATGGATTGTTCTCAGTCATCGTCTGGGAAGACCAGGTTATGTCAATCCCAAAGGTTTCAAATGCCCAGACTCATCTGACCTTGCCCCAACAATCAGCACCATGGGTTCTTCTAAGCAGTTGTCTAGAAAACTGAAACTGAAAATAGTTGACGCTCACAAAGCTGGAGAAGGCTATAAGAAGATAGCAAAGTGTTTTCAGATGTCAATATCCTCTGTTCGGAATGTAATTAAGAAATGGCAGTCATCAGGAACAGTGGAAGTTAAAGCAAGATCTGGAAACCAAGAAAAAATATCAGACAGAACAGCTCGCAGGATTGTGAGAAAAACAATTCAAAAACCCACGTTTGACTGCATGATCCCTCCAGAAAGATCTGGCAGACACTGGAGTTGTGGTACACTATTCCACTATAAGAGATACTTGTACAAATATGGTCTTCATGGAAGAGTCATCAGAAGAAAACCTCTTCTACGTCCTCACCACAAAAAATCATTGTTTGAACTTTGCAAATGAACATATACAGACAAGCCTGATGCATTTTGGAAACAAGTTTCTGTGGACCGATGAGGTTAAAATTGAACTTTTTGGCTGGAATGAGCAAAGGTACGTTTGGAGAAGAAGGGGCACAGAATTTAATGAAAAGAACCTCTGTCCAACTGTTAAGCATGGGGTTGGATCAATCATGCTTTGGGGTTTGTGTTGCAGCCAGTGGCACAGGGAACATCTCACGAGTAGAAGAAAAAATGGATTCAATAAAATTTCAGCAAATTTTGGATGGTAACTTGATGCCATCTGTGAAAAAGCTGAAGTTAAAGAGAGGATGGCTTCTACAAATGGATAATGATCCTAAACACACCTCGAAATCCACGGGGGGATTGCATCAAGAGGCGTAAACTGAAGGTTTTGCCATGGCCTTCACAATCTCCTGACCTCAACATAATTGAAAATCTATGGATAGACCTTAAAAGAGCAGTGCGTGACAGACAGCCCAGAAATCTCAAAGAACTGGAAGACTTTTGTAAGGAAGAATGGGCAAAGATACCTCAAACAAGAATTGAAAGACTCTTGGCTGGCTACAAAAAGCGTTTACAAGCTATGATACTTGCCAAAGGGGGCAGTACAAGATATTAACTCTGCAGGGTGCCCAAACTTTTGCAGACGCCATTTTTTTGTTTTCTGTTATTTTGAAAGTGTAAATGATGGAAATAAAATCTAACTTTTGTTGACAAATTATAAGAATGTCTAATCTGAAATTTGATGCCTTTTGGAGATTTTTCCATCTTTCCTTGGCTTCTTTGTGCACATTAATACAAATTTTTAGCTGGGGTGCCCAAACTTTCGATCCCCACTGTACATGAGCCCTTAGTTTGGTCAGATTGAAACTGAAAAGAAGAGTAACTGGCATTAACACCTGGTATTTCTCAGCTAAGGAAGAAATAAAAATACAACAGCTTATATTTGCAAATAAATAACTTATAAACACGGACATGGGGTAACATACACTTTAAGGATTCACATGTTGGATAACTATTTACTCATCGCAATATCATTTTTATTTTTTACAAAACAACTTGGTAATATATTATGTTTGTGTGCCCTACAATTAACTGTAGTATATCTTTAACTAAAATGTGATATAAAATCTTCAGATCTAAATTGTGCATTTTAGCATGTGTGCAAAAACTGCAAAAAAAAGGCCCTAGTATGTTGATCTTTCAGAAAATCATAGTTGTCCTATGTCTTCCTTACATTTCCTATTAAAGCACACCTGTAAGTGTCTCTTTGAGCATGTGAGTACAACTCCGACCTGAATCTGATGACACCTTCAAAATCTTGTGATAGTGAAATAGACAATCGTAAATAAAACTCAACTTTATTCAGTGGCATCTGCACTCAGAAACTATATGACATGGTAATAGAAGAAGGGCAACAAACGAAATAATTAAAATGGAATGTCAGTACTGACATTAGAAGATCAATACATGGAATGTAGCAGTTCACTTGGCCTATCTAGTGAAGCTACCTATATATAAATCCTGAACGTATCCATTGGTGGGCTCATGAGTCCTAACCAAATGCACAGATTTTCTTTCCAAGACAACGAGGTAGCAAATAATGTACTGTCTGAAGAAGCAACAGGTGTGCAGTCCCCTTAAGATGATCTCCCTGGCAGCCAGTTTACTTTATCCAGCAGACACTAATATAAAGCAATTATCTGGATTTACCTTCTGCATTTAGCTGACAGTATTGCCTTGACTATGCAATTGTCTTTCACACTAGATCCCATTGAGATGAACAGATAGCTGAAGACAAAGTAGTTTAGTGCTGCAGCAAAGGATGGCAATTCTAGAAATCTAAGAGACAGTCACTGTAGCATAAGGAACATGTTTTTTCAAGACCATATGGCACTTATAATCCAGCAGTCAGCTATCCTCAGCCTTCAGAAAAACAGGTGGAATCTGTTCCACCTTCTCTGAGCAATGAACGAAAAAGAAGAATCCAGCAGAGTGCCTCTTCAAAGTCTGCTGCCTTCTTCCCAAAGGTGCTCTCATGGACCTCCTTCCGTACAGACTCTCCTGCAGAACATTCCTCGCTCTGATGTCATGGATTCTCCAGGCCAGTACACGTGTCTAGGGGTGGCACCTCATCCCTTTAAACCCGAAACACATATTATTTACACAGGTTCTGTGGCTGAGTAGGGTGGTAATCAAACTCACTTATAGCCTTATCTGCATTAAATTAGCATCAGAACCTGTGTAATTAATGTGTTCGAGTTTAACCATTTTCCCGCCGTCCTATAGCAGAAATACTCTTACAGGGTGGCAGGGGTGCGCAAAATCACGTATATATACGTTATCTTGTATTTCTGGGTAGGGGGAGCGTGAGCGCCCTACCTGCGCCGCCATTGGCGGCCTCATCTGTGGATCATCGGGTCCCAGCCGGTGATTCTCCGCTGGCATCTGTAATCAATACAGATCTCTCCCCTGTCAGCTCCTGCACATTGCTTTGTATTGCTTTGCACACTCAGGGAGGCTGAATACAAATGCATGCCACACTTTTCAGATATTTGTAAACAATTTTGAAAACCATTTATCATTTTCCTTCCACTTCACAATTATGTGCCACTTTGTGTTGGTCTATCACATGAAATCCCAATAAAATATATTTACATTTTTGGCAGTATCATGACAAAATGTGAAAAATATCAAGGGTTATGAATACTTTTTCAAGGCACTATATATATATATATATATATATATATATATATATATATATATATATATACACACACACATACATAGCCAGGACTTAAGAGTTACTTGCCACCAGTTGCCACACCTGACCCCTATCCTGCCCTGCCCTTAATTACCTGTTCCCATAACTTTGGGAGCATGAAATTGTCCAAAATAATTTGGTACGCTGATGTCTTAAGAGTTCCCTTCAATGGAACTAAGGGGCCAAGCCCAACCCCTGAAAAACAACCCCACACCATAATTCCCTCTCCACCAAACTTTACACTTGGCACAATGTAGTCAGGCAAGTACCTTTCTCCTGGCAACTGCCAAACCCAGACATGTCCATCGGATTGCCAGTCAGAGAAGTGTGATTTGTC